GTGAACGCTACTGACTCGGGAACAAACTTGGCACCCGTCATCTCATCCTGGCCAGGCACACTTTAAAATCTGGCAAGGGAAAATTCTATGGCAACAAACTGAAGTGCTGTTTTTGATTTTTTTTCTTTACTGTGGAGAGAAAGAATGCTGACCAGCTTATGAGGTGAAGAAAAAGAAACTGGTCATCCATCAAACTCTGTCAGGTGGCTTTAGTTCTATCCTGTGGGAAAACTAAGACATCATGAGGGTGACAGAGGGGGATGTAGACATAGCATTCTGAATATTAATATTTTTCATGTGTGAATTGAGAGATATAATAGGATGGTTCAAAGAGAGAGAGAGAGAGAGAGAGAGAGAGAGAGAGAGAGAGAGAATGTATGCTGGGCACTTGTATGTATGTTACATCTTCCATGCAAAGTTTCAACGACTTCAGCACTTCGAATGAAAATTTATTCCCAATCCCATTTCAAGTTTTTCACCAGACATTTTCAGAAAAGTAAAAAAAAAGAGGCTCATTTTGTACATGACAACAATTTTCCACCGCCTTATCTGGAAGGGAAGATAAAATCTAAACCAATGACTGGAATTATGAAGGAGGGCACTGACACTGCACTGATTCAGGTACTCCCAATGAACAAAAAATGGATAAATACCCGTATGCTGAATGTTTTTTCAAATCTTATGGATCAAAGTAACTTTTATCTCAACCAAACAACTTTGAAAATTCAGAATTCATCTAAAATGTCTGTCTTAGAATGCTTACAAATCTGTAGATTTTTTCTGATTTTTTTGCAACTCAAAACACAAGTGCTGACTAACTGTCAGCTAAAATTTTTAGATTTTTCTGATAGTGGAAGAAGACGTTGGTAAATTTACCATGCCTCAGTAGAGATTTGTGGACCACTTGCCTAATCATTCCATCAATCTGTTTACCACATTGCATGAGTAGAAAACATTTCAAAGAAAATATTCAGTTTTCTTATCTGACCAAAAAACCTAAGACAAGAACATCTCTGTGATCACCGCACATTAAGGATCCGCAAATTAATAAACGATCCTTTTAAGGACTGATATTTGAAAACTTTTGGGGCAATTTAGAATTTAAAATAATACACGTCTCGAGCTGCTCATGTGTTCAGCTCAGGCAAAATGTTATAAGATTTACCAGGCAAAGTTTACACATGTGTAGGTATGTGAGTGTTTAGCAGCCCACTCCAAAATGAAAATACCCAGGCCCGTCTCTGTTCCATTTCAACACAACATTACATGTTTCCAAATAGTTGTTTGAGAGAAGACACAGGCCTTCGCCATAGTTTGGCAATCAGCAATCAGCAGATAAAAGAAATCAAAATAATCAGGACTGGCTAAGTGACAAATCTCCATGTTGTCAGATAGAGATGGCATGTTTGGCAGTGCGCTAGTCAGCGCGGCAGTATTTTCCCACACACTCATTCCTCCTGTACTTTTCTGAATACCAACTCTAGATTTTTTTCCACTGTGCAATGTACACACTAACAGTATTACAGGATCCTTCAATGGTGCTTAATCAGACGTGAAAAACTGATAATCCAAAGTCTCTAGGAGGACTGTCTCACTGCAAAGATGTTCAACATACATTGCCATGGCAGCAATAAACAATAAGATTTGGAGACAGAAACAACCCAATAATCATCTGACATTTAATCCTATATCTCAACTAGCTTCAAGTTTGTGTCTTAGGTGACATATTTGTTTTAAATATTTGGGTCTTGGCTACTTGAAGACAATTAATTGACTGATAAGGCCCTACGCTTGTAACATGCAGTGAAATTACATACACAAGGTATGCCATAACTGGGGCTTCACACCATCTGTCTATTTAAGGTGAAGGTCTTGCATCATAAACTGTCTCAATTTTACACAATAAAACCAGATCATTGCCCTCTAATTTCATCTCAGGTGTACATGAAAATATTTATATTGAACCTTAACTGACAGCATTTGCGCTAAATGACATCTATAGTATTTAAAGTGTAAATCTTGCCAACCTTAATCAGCCCTAATAGTTCTCTTAATCAATTCACTGCTCTATCATACATATAATATACGTCTACATCCTTGTTAATTAATGTGAGAAACTTCTCCTAGTCTTGCTACCCCTTGGTTCATTACCAGGCGACATGCAAGCTCACCTGACGAATCACAGTGATTGAAACCACTTTTCCATTAATCAACTCTGCACTTGAAATGTGTAACGCAATTACCCTGAAGTGACAATACAGGTAACCAAGCAGAAAAATGGGATTACTGGGAAAAACTCTGGGAAATAGTAATCCCGTTCTTTATTTTCCAGGTCACACACAAATAAACTTGAATTGTTTCTTCAAGTTCTGTTGTCAATTTTTAAAGATTTTTGTCTACTTTTTGATGGTCTAAGCACTCTTTTCTTTGGCCAATATCCATAAATTACCACACTTGCTTCCCAAAATTCCATTTTAACTTAATCCGACAAAAATTGTTTTAAAAAATAAATAACTTTAAGGCAAAAAATATATATTGTGGTGTATTTCCTTTGTTTGTAAAACTTTTCAAACTTGTTATTTAATGCTTTTTAAGAGCATTTTCTTTAAAAGAGCTTTAGTGTTCCTTTCCTTAGGAAACATTTCAAATGCTAAATAAGCATTTCCTTTAAAAATCAATGTCAAAACCCTATCAATAAAAAAGAAAAGAATGAATCAAATGAACAAAAAATTCGAACCTTGCTACTACAAAAAACAAAAATAGATATATATACCATCACTGCATCTAGCAACAGGTAATTTCTTTTATGTAAAAATAATGTGATAGTCCTATTCTATAACTAAGTATACAATATTTATGAAAGAGGGTGACAAAATTTTTTTTTGAAACTGCCAATTATCACAAACAACAGGTGAATGCTTGCCATTTTTTTCTTAAATCAAATAGGCACGCTTCACCCTATCAATCTTTTCAACTGGCTTATTGTATCCAATCAAATCGGACAGATGGTCTGATGGCTCAGGTAAGCAGTCGCTGATAAAAGTCTCCCAGTTCCCACGATTCCCATCCCTTTGTGTATAACATGGAGGCTGATCGGCCCAGTTAACTACTGTAAATTTGTTTATTAAGCCCAACTCCCTGTGCGTCAGGTAATTATCTCTCTCTTTCCTCTGGCCAAGGTCTCCTGATAATCAGCATTCCCTTTCAACATGGCATCTTGATAAGGATTAGGGAACCCAGTGAGGGACGAGCTAAACAAAGGGGAGAGGAAGATTCTTGGACTTGGACAAATATTGGTTTTTATTTGGAAAGGGAGAGGGGGACTCGGGAGGGATGGCTACCTGGGGTACATTTCCTAGAAATATATTTCTGAGATGTTCAATCTTACACAAACATTTGTTTTGATAATGATTGTAAACACTTAACCAGTTATTTATAAGTTCATTAGATAGCAGTCCATAAAATAGACATTACCTTTTCAATACATAAATACTTCATATCTACCTCAATCATCAGACAATTCTTTTATTATCGTGAAAACTTGTTCTTTCAGTCACCCCTCTCTTTATTAAAAAATTCAAGTGTACATTATGTAAATTATGACAAACTAGTTACAAAAAAAAACTGTTTTTTTAAAATTATGGCAATCTGCCACTGATAAAAACTTCTTTCCTTCTCCGTATCATCCAGTTTTCTAACCCCCTACATATGGCTACCATTTTGATTTATATAAATACGCCAATGCACAATTGTTGTCCTTGGCGTACACTAACAAATAGCACAAAACCAGGAATGTTTTCTCAGTACATAAGATCATTGCTCCTTATTGATCTTTTTTGTCCTGTAACTAATTTCAAGCCAATTTTTGCAATCACGAACATATTGATTGCTAATGTGCAATAGCAGACCCCTACTTAACTTGAAGGACTGAACAGACTTCAAATGAAGTCGTTAAGATGATTACTATACCATCCACCTTTCCCTTCTTAAAGGACAATGTTCATGTAAAAATCCATTTCTCGAATTTTGAAGATACAGCACTCAATCTATACACTAGAGGTATGTTTTAATCGATCCCCGCCATTTAAAAATTATAAAAACAATCTATTAGTAGAAAAAAAAGCGTTTTAGTAAACCTCACCTCAATATGCAAAAATGAAGCAACAGATCTGGGTCACGTGGTACTGTGACGACAATCACGATAAAGGTCTATGAGACTCAACTGAGCTGCATGGTGCATACAGACGGAGAAGTTAAGGAAAGTTGTGTTGAACGGAGTTGAGGAATTTTCGTTATGCCTCGGTGTGTTGCCGTGGGATTCACCAAAATTGCAGCTCTCGTTGACAATCTTTCTTTGTCTGTGACGGTCTTCCGTGACTTACTTACTAACTTCGGTGACAATAGTTGCGATGCTCTAGATCATGGTCACCTCAGGTGGTTTAGATCATATCAAGAGCTGGTAGTCTTTCAGATTAACTGTCATCAGTTGGCAAACTTANAATCATTGTTTCAAGTTTTCGGAATGACAGAAAGCATATTCTTTGAATTTCTACCCAGACAATTGAATGACAAATATAAGTTTGAAACCGTTACCATACTTTTTTTTCTCCCACTCTTGTGAGACAACAAAAATTGAGGTTTGATATTCAGCAATAATACAACATAAACTAAACACACTTGCTAAATATAGGTCTAACTTTGGGATCAATAACAATGTTACAGTTAACTTGTAAATGTTTCTATTGATAGCCTTGGATAAACAGACCATTATTACTTCTTCACGGTTTGATTGTCATAGGTATATTATAAGATACACAGGACAACTTTTAGTATATTTTGAATCCTCAGTTTATCAAACGATCCTCCAATCAATGTGATCTCAATATCTTCCCTTTTTCATTATCACTTTTGAAGTTATAAATTTCAATGAAAATTCATTTGAGTAATAGCAGTTCTATTAAATAATATCCATGATAAATTGCTCCTTCAAATGTACTTACTCGCAATGTGGAGTTCCGTTTGATTCTGATACCGTACAACAGCCCCCGTTCCTACAATTGCATGGATTTGTTTGAAGGCAAGCTGAAATAGGCAAAATTTAAATTATCAAATAATGATAGTAAAACAGTGATTATACATTATCATAAAAATCATTTAAAAAAACTTTAGACAGGCATGTAAAGAGTATAACCTCTGAATATTGTTTTACATGAAAATATAACATACTTGTGATAAATAAATGAGAACCCTGAGATAAATTATTTAAAAATGATCTTTACATAAAAACAATATTAGTACTCATGTCTGTTTACGTTTCTCAAGTGGTTAATCTATTTAAGTGATAGAAAACAGACATTTATTAATTCTGAATGTTTTTAATTGCCACAATTAACTATAGTACAATGTAAAGCGTTAAAGAAAAAGACAGGACTATGATAAAACACCTTGAAGTTCTAGATTTTGGCAAGTCAACTTTACAATCTATTTGTTCCCATTCTTTTAAAGAAAGAACATAACTTTTTGGCCAAACATCAATCACCTTTACCTCTCTGTGGTGATCTATCATAATTTTTATCTGAATAATTATACATAACATTATTTCAAACAAACACACGAGGACAGATATTACAAAACAGTTATTTAGATGTACTTCCTTCATTGAGATCAGGAAGACCCCCCAATTTCAATTGATTACTATAATCTAGCATTAGTAGTGAAACCCACAATCAAAGAAAAATTTTGAACGGCCTAATTACCAATCAAAACAAATCAAATGAAGCCCCCTTCACAGAAGCTCTCTCGCTTTGCCATCTGGCTTCTGCAATAACTCTGTTGACCAAGAGATCAAGATTTGCACAGGGGGCTCATCAAACTGAAGGTGAGAAAGCCCGCTGCTGCAAATTATACCCCTATGAAACAGAGCAGCACCCAGCCATCTGCCTTTCACTGTCAAGAGACACATTCCTCCTTAACAGAAGCTGCCAATGATGTAATGGGCTTCACAGGGCTTTCACCCTGTATAACAAAGGGTTCACTGAGGCAGCTTATTCTGCTGCTGGTATAGGAAAGGTTTACCTTTATTTTACTGATGACAATACCACAAATACACAGGGTTTATATCATGCTGAGAAGTTTCTTAGGTGAGGGGAATAGCTATCAGATGTCTGATCTTACTGTTTGCAATGATGCTCTGATATGCTCAGAATTTTTTACTCAAAATTACCGGTTGTAAATGATGCAATCTGAAGTTTTGAAAAATGAAAATATCCACTGCATTACAATTTCTGTGTTTGTAATTCTTCCTCTGAGATAACTGCTCGCTATATTTCCTTGCCTTTTTTTCTCAATATTTCCAATTCATCACAACAGGCACAGGTTTTTCCAATGATTTTCCATTCCATGTCATTTCATATCTAACATGTTTTACCCGGGAGGCCTGACTCTTCTGCAGGCCAGACATGGAAATTAAAAGGGTTTAACAATAGATAAGCAGCACTTAGAACTACTACTGGTCAGGTTTCATTTGTCTCCGCTAGCCAGATAATAAATTTGTCTGCACTGGGATGTTCTTGCTGAGTAACTGGTAAAACAGAGAAAAACTTCTTGTGGAATATAGCATTTTGTGAACTTGTTTTAACCTATTCAGTCCCTATTTTGTTACAACAAAATTAATCAATTTTTGCTTCTTTCTAGCAAAGTTTAAGGTAGTTGTTTAGTCAATTACAAGCAAGGTTTAAGATATACATCTGTTTATCAATGAACCAAAAGTTCAGACAATGAGTGCCCTTGTCTGAATTTCTTACTGCAGATAAAATGATTTAAATGTATCACACACAGTTTTATCATCTTCTATCCTTTTTTCAGTCTATGTATCAGCTGGGGCTGACAATAAAGGTACCAGAATGAACAAGATCAAACATTAACTTCCAGGTAGTGCCTATCAAATGTTAAGAATTCCAATTTAAACCCTTGGAATAAATATATCCTCAAATTTCCAGAAATCTTAAAAATCTACATTTCAGCCAAAAGAAATAATTCCCAATCCAAGTTTTAAATAAAATTCTGGCTAACTCCTTGTGATCTTAAATACATGGAAATCCTTAAGATGAGACCACATGCCTCTTCATTTCCCCAGAAACACCTGTAGGAATTTTCCCCAAGATTTCTAAGCATTCACCTTGTTAGCTCTGTAGTTCACATCAATGGGCAACCCCTGACATTGAAAACCGAAAGAGCAACACATTAGCACAAGGTAAAGAATAACACAAGCTTTTTTTCTATCACATCCCATTTGACTTATATTTTGCCACAGCAATTTTCTTGACTTCAATCAAAATTGCTCCCAAATCCCAACAGATTTTTTTATTGCAGTTAAATCTTTAGAACTCAAATTTGCAAGTCATTTTCCCTCCCTTGAGATGCAACTACAAGCAGCCACTACATTTATAACACACAGTTTTATTCCTCTTTGCCTGTTACGTCTGATAAAAAAGCGTGTATTTGTCTGTGCTATGTCAAAAACATTATAAATCCGTCTAGTTGTGATGGTATGCCAATTCTTTCACCATTACCAAGCAATTTCATGCAAGTTACAAACTTTGTACATAGCAGATTGACAATTCTATACAAGAGACATTATAGTATAGTGTCTTGTGCAATTACATGGTCTGCCCTACTCAAAGGTTAAAAATGGAAAACTAAAATTGTGAAAATTGTTGGCAAAACGAGAAGGGCACCATTTTGTTCCACGAGGAACCATTATATACAATTATGGGACAATATCTAGGTTATAATGTTTCTATACAACTACTGAGATTGGTCTTCTTTTGTATAGAAAAATGCACAAATGTTAAACTTTAACAAAATCTTTGAAATTCAGGTTAAGCTGAAGATCCACATATTATGTTGACTGAATATTTTAACAAACTGATGCAGCATATAGTTAAATAAAGGAGCTTATGCCACATTTTAGATTTATTGACGATTAGGTTATTTTATTTTACCAAAGCTGAGTAATCAGCCCATATTTATTAAGGCCTAGTTCACCTTCATTCATTAGCCCAATTGGAAAGAAGATTTGATTTAATGCCACATTTCTCAAAATCACAGCTTTATATTTCATGATGCTTCTTGATTCTCAGAATTGATATGCAGAACTGAATACGATGTCTAAATACTGCGATTTCATTGCATAAACAAGAAGTTCTAAAACATCCTTTGCATATTGCTTCAAGTTCAGTTATCAATTTACAGTTTCTCCAATTTGAAAACGCTTTTAATTTACCTGGATTATTGGCACTGGCAATTAGATTATCTCTTAGACTCTGGGAACCTAATGTCATTTAGTTTCCATGTAAAAGTATGTTTGATGCCTTAAGATAGCATCTTGGTGTGGGAAAGTCCTCTGATTGAGATCAAAATTTAGTCTATTCTTGGACTGAACACACATCCCAGCAAGCTGCATACAAAGTAACGTAGCACTCTAAGCCCCGTGCCCAATTCAAAACTAATACAGAACAGGTTTGTTGAAAATATTGAATTTTAGACTCTGAAGTCTTTTAACTGTCTGAAATTTGCTCCCAGTGTGTAATGCATATATACGGAAATGGAAAATTATCAGCACATGGCCCGAGGATGTTGGCCTAGTTGGTGTTAGGATTTTGCAGCTTGGTTCCAATCCGAACCCACATGACCAAGTATGTATTTCAATGGAGCTTCTCAAATCTGGGACACCGCAGAAAACTAGTAAATAAATAGCTCTCTGCTGTAATTCTATCTTCATGCCACAAAGACAATAAAACAAGTGAAGTTCAAACAAAGACTTATTAATGTGCCTTTGTGTAACATGCAATTTGAGGTGAATAAAAGACAGCTATGTTGTTTCTAATTACTTTGTTTAAGTACATTTGTGATAACTCTACTTAATGCTTAAAAAACACATTTCATGTTAATTTGCCATCATTCTGTTATGATTAATATTTCAACCGTTACATCCAAATTTAATCTGTTACAAATAAATCTCGTTGCACTTTAAATATTTTCTCTCATCAGATACACTGTAAATTTATTTTGATTACAGATAATAGCAATTAATGAATTATGCCCTTTACACACATCACAAATAGTCAACAAGTTAGGTTTCTTACTCGTGGGAAAATTAACAGCTGCTCATCAGAATCAATTACATTGGCAGTTAAACCAGAGCATCTGCTGGCTCTCAGTTCAAATCAGATCAAGTGATATGGCATAGGGGCTTACTTATGTAAACTATTTACTATCATCTTTCCACTTTGATTTGGTAGAGATGAAATAAGATTTTAACTAAACATATAAATCTGTCCGATTGCATTGTACTTTGTTAGATTATATGTGAAAGAAAAGTTATAAAATATAAAGGATTGGATTTTTTTATGTTTCCTGTCTTTAGTTAATGTATTATTTATTATCATTTGCCTTGATTTGATTATTCCAAATTAAATCACAGCTTTCCCAATAAATCTGATCACATGCAATCATTCTTCATTTTTTTATTTAATTGAAATAAAATGACACTAGGAATTCTTAAATCACTTATTTCACATCAACAATGAAATGATTAAGTGAAATTAACATTTGTACATTTCTCAATGGTGTAGATTGTTACAAAAAAAACTTTAAGTCTGTGACTTCCTAACTTAGTTTAAAAAACAACATTCCAAATGTGAATTCTTTTAATTGTTAATGAGACAGATGTTAAAGGAAAATGATGTCTCCCACATTCACCAGTTGAAACATGCACTTGCCCTAAATGCTTTCACTGTTTCAGCCTACAAGCATACCAAAACCACTGTTCACAACTTCTCCAAATTTCACATTTTTCGGCATTTTCTGAATTATAAACTCATTTTCGAGTGGAAACCTTAGCGACTCAATAAACATTGTCCGTTATACTTAATTGGGGGTGTTACGAGTCCTCTTTGTTTGGCGAACATCTGCTCTTCCAGATTAAGGGTAGGGGTGTAATAAATTAAACCTACGATTTAGCCTAGGTCAAGCACTAACCGATTCGACCACTGTTCTATAAATCCATACAACCACTTCTTATAACGAAACATGCTGCCCAAAACGCAGTTCAGATATACACTTTCATCTGACCTCTCAATATTTGATAAAACGTTTAAATCAGAGCAGAGAGGGTCCTCAAATCTTGAGATCGATCAATATGTATGGAGCCACTCACTGTCCCTCACGCAGCCACCTACCTGGTGATGACCCCTCTGTTTCTGTCGTTCTTAGTAGCACAAAAAAGGTACAGATCCAAAAGACTAGGGGCTGCATCACGAAGTTAAACTCCTATACAAGTCGTACTCCATGCATCGGTTCTGGTAATATCCGACAAATTATCCAAATCCTGAGTTGGGAAAGTGGAGTCCCTGTTCGCTTCTTCCACGATGACGTCCCCTTTACTTGTGAACAAAAAGTTTATCTTGCCCAGCAGAGTGCTCATATCACTCCGCGTCCAATTAAATATTGGAGCGGCGCGCTATCGAAGTTAATTTAACAACATATACTTCGTTAAAAGTTTTCTGTTTTTGATAGTTTTATATATTTCCTCCGTTTATGTGCGAATATATAGACGAAATACTTAAGAAGCGATTACTTTGAAAGTTATACTCGCACTATTTCCTTGTGGTTTTAACGCGGAAGCCAACTTGTTGTTATATTGCTCGTCTCAATGAATGAAATTCTCTAGGTCACCAAAGGCGCTTAACAAGCTCAAGTTTTAAAACAGACAATTTTCTTGGGGCAGATATTATTTTGAGTGACTTTCAATTACTCTGTACACTTTACTTGATTCGAAGAGAGATGGAAAACTACTGTAAGGGTTTCGCGCGTACATAGACCCGTCGAAGTTTTTATTCAAAACACAGCAGGCACCTGCTGCTGCGGCCGGGGAGCACCGTGCTGACATCTGGCTGTGGTTAACGAAATTCAAAAGAATTTTGAGTGGTTGCTTCAGTTTGAAAGGCTAGTATATGATACATACGGGCTTATTGTAAATCGGGCACGTCGGGGTCTTTATATTTACACATTGACTGGGTGTGTTTATGTATCTGACTGTGCTGTTTCTTCATTGAGAACGAGAAAAGGGTGCATGTCACAGAAATCCACGTCAAATGTATATTAGTAAAATTTACCAGACATCGGTAAAGGTGACAACATTTTCGTCCCCCCCTCTCTCTCTCTCTTTCTCTCGTGAATAACATGTTTGAAAAAAGGAGGCATGGCAAAAATGTTGCCTCGGCGGATACGTGTGAAACCAAAATAATTGATAATTACAGTTATACAGTTACAGAATTGATTAGACATTTATTTATTTGTGGTAGGTAGAGTAAACTCACAGTCATCGTTAGAACACCTTTTCTGAAACTCAGGTATATAGAGTAGCTACAGTATATACTGAAACTTATAATGGGCATGATAATTTTGAGACGTGTGTTTTAATGAAACTGAATTCATTTGTGCTTTTTAATAAAAAAAAAGGTATATTGATGTAATTATTTGTGAAATTTTGACGTGCAGTTTGGTGCATTTTTAAATAATTTTTTTAATAAACTAAAATATTAAGGGTGTTGTCACTGTGTTGCGGGAGGGAAATCTGTATGATTTAAATATGCCAAGTTTAAAATGTTCAAAGATAGTTGATTGTTGAAAGTACGAAATACAATGTTATACATTTTAATAGTGATGAAATGGCAAAGTATTTCAATAGAGCCAAAATTTAAACGAAACTTGAAGTAGAAACTAACCCAATATACAAAATAAATTTGGTTTTACATTTTTCTTTCACAAAAAAATGCTGTTGAAGGCGCAATTAATCTGTTTTGATGAAAAAAAAAAAAAAAAAAAAAACAATCTCCTCACTTTGCTAAGCTTTTTAAAATATACATGTGCATAGCTGAAATGTCTTATTTGATTACAGTATATAGTTGTTTTGTGACTTTTCAGGTAAAATTAAAATTGACTTTGTTTAACGCGTACAAAATTTGATTCCCTTGTCAATAAACTGTCAATTAAACACAATCTTTTTTATGAATAAAGAGAGCTTTAAATAGAATTTCTATATATCCTTGTAATTACTTCATGATATTATGAATAAGTTACCCTCGTATAAAGAGCTGTAAACAATCGCATTTACAAAGCATGTTTGGATTAGAAGAAAATTTGCAAAACCACTGCAGAAAATTGCGGTAGTTTAGAGAGCAATTGATATCTCATCTGTCACAACCAACGCATTTTGAACAGGTGCTATATTTTCCAATCTCCCTTTCAAAAAGATTAGTCCCTCATTTTACCGATGGTGAGTGCTTTTTTGAAATAATCATAATTACAAAACTTATGATGTTCTTGATAACCAAGGCAGAACTTAATATCGTGAGTTTAGAGTCCATATTTTTTTTAAATTTGACTTGGATTCGGATATGTTGCAGGTTTATTGCAAACAATGGCATGGAAAGTTAGTATTGGTGTAATGCATAATACTGCTAAAATACGAATCGTGTGCGTAACACAGAGCAGTTTAACTAACTGATTATATTATAACTATTATTTCTTCTTCATCAATTATATGTCTTGTGTCAACCCACAGGGCTCAGATGGAAAACCATGCTGTCCAAGGGACAGAAGGACGTGTATGGCATGTCAAGAACAAAATAGGTGAAGGCAGCTGTTGTTCTGTTTATAGAGCTGTGGAGGCAGTGGGCTTTGGTGAGGTAATAAATTGACTGTTGCATTATATAAGCTGTTTTTTGCTTAAACAATATTTATTAAGTATAATACTTAAACCTAGTAACTGGCTAAGAAAACTCTCATTTTGGATCTTAAGATAATTTTGATAATGAATGGCTGAATTCAGTTTTTAAACATTTTTGTTAAACTTTTACTTGTCAGTCATTAATATTAAAGAAGTAATTTCAAATGATAGTTTGCTTGGTACATACAAACTGCACATGTACTGTCACTTCTCAAGTGTCATCAATTCATTCATCATTAATTTAAATTAACCTTCTATTTTTTAATGTAAGATTATATATAAGATTTAGAAATCAATGAAATTGATATTTCAGGTATGTATCAAAGTATATAGAGCAGATTCCAGATATGTGTTTGCCTGTGACAGAGAGCGAATTCTCCTGGATATTCTCCACACAAAACACCCAAGCAATCAACACATAGGTAAAGTTGGTTAGTTTATCCCAAACTTCAGAGACAACACAGTCAGCATCTTCACTTTCTCATTTTATACATCCCTGCTTGTTGTACCTTATTGATAGTGAAATAGGAACCTAACTAATATGGAGAGTTAGAAGTGAAGAAACACAGATCAGTTCTGAAGCTCAGAGCAGGTTAGAAAGAGTGTTATTATTATTATACTCATATTTGGTAAAAGACCAAAAAAGTGTTGTTTGATGTTGTAAGCTGTACTTGACTGTGAATTTCACATTGAATTAACATGATATCTGTTTTTGATAATGTTAAATGAACAATTCCAGCAATATCTTCATATATTTATTCCAGACTTAAGATTGGCCTATAACTATATACAGTACATTTCTTATATCTTAATATATATCATAATACGTACTGATGTTTTACAAACATCTTTTTGCAGTGAACGTGTTAGACTACTGCATCCTTGACAATAACCAACACTGTTTAGTTCAGGAACAGTTAGACTTAGACATCAGGCAGTTGCTCCTGAAGAGCAGTGGGAGGCTGTCGCTATATCACATACAGAGACTTGCCAGGGATATTTACCAGTAAGTTTTCAGGTATGCACAATAGGCAGCTCATTGAATGTTGCAAAATGTAATTTTTGTGTTAAAACATAAAACATTAAAATTTTGTAGCTTTTCAGTTTCTTCCTGTTTTATTTATTTATTTTTTCACTTACATTATGTAACATAAGTCCACATTTTACAGCTTGATCTTTCTGTTAATTTCTATCCAGTGGTCTGTGGTGTCTGCACAGTCTTGGCTTTGTCCATGGGGATGTGAAGCCTACCAACATTTTATGGAGTGGTCAGAGTGGCTGTTGGAAGCTGATAGATCTTGGTCTCAGCTTCCACACTGAGGATAAAGTGAGTGATTTTTTTGTTTAAATAAAAAAATATATTGTGTCTTCAGAGAATAAACTTGTTTTTAGTGGGCTTTATGTGATAAAGGACAGATGTATGACTTTTTAATTTTTATTGCTTTTGAATAATTGGGAAGAATGCTTTAATTTATTATAAATATATGTTATGCATATGTGACTAAACATGTGGTTTACTTTATGTAACCAATCTACTTCTAACTACTGCTACAGACCCAAAATTCTCCACAGGATGTGTCTTTAAATATTCATCATTTAAAAAAATTTTTGGAAGACAAATAATATTTGCATACAAAAAAATCAGTAGAAAAACACCTTCTTCTATATGTCCTTACCTTGCTTTTCTTTCAGGACGTAGGGCAGATTCAGACCTCTGGTTATCGGGCACCAGAGAGCACTCTCTGGAATGAAACTGCTGAGGAAAACAGACACCAGGTGTCAGCACCAGGCTGTGAGGCAGATATGTGGAGTGTGGGCTGTGTAATGCTTGAAGCGTTCACTGGAGAAAAGTTCTTGAAGAAAGGGGACACTGTGGCAGTTTGTGAAATTTGCAAGGTTTGACTGGCTTTATTGTTATTAAAAATTATGTTAAGGTAGCTTTCATGAACTTGAACAAAGAAAAGCAGCACTTCTTATGAGATATTTCATTTCTAATTATTTGTATTTGATGCAGAAAGACTCATTTTGTTTAACAGTTGAAAACACACACACACAAAAATAAAATGTCCCATTGTCTGTTTTGAAAAAAAAATGTTTCCCAAAAAAGGACAGATTTAAACTTTGTGATGAATTGTAACAATTAGCAGAGAATATTTCTGTACATTAACCCAAAGCCTTTTCTTCTTGCAGAGTACAGCCCCAAAATATACTCAGTGTAGATACTATGCAAGAGCTTGCCAAACAATAACCTCATCCAAAACCGAAGAACACTCAGATGAAAAAGTGTTTAAAGCTTTTAGTAACATGATTTGCAGGTATAATGATTTACCAAGAAAACTCATTTGGCAGCTTTGTTATAAAATAAATTTGTATTTTGCATAGTTGTGTATTTTGCAAAGAGGGTATCTGAGTGAAGGAAGTCAGCAGAAAAACAGACAATTATAGATTTTTAAAATTGGTAAGCTGTGCCATATTCATCTCACACAAATTAAATATTTGACTTGTTTTGTTTTTGCAGCTTAGTCACATGTCTTCCAAAGAACAGAGCTAAAGCAGAATGTGCTAATTTACCTCAAGATCACTTCCTGGATTACTCAATAGGTAATTTGATTTCAATAAATTTGCCCCCCCCTTACCCATATGGGCACTTAATTTCTTACCACATATTTAATATATAAGGTTACTATGTGAGCTTCTTTCATTTTTAGGCTTTTTCTGTAGGTTTTTTTCAGCTATCACGTTAGATGTGGTTGACTGGATAACTTGATATTATAGTGTGAGAATTTCTAATATTTTGTGCTTATTTTACAATTGCCCGAAAGCTAGACCTTTTATAAATGATGCATAATGCTTCATGGCAGGCCCGTAGCCAGCAATTTCAAAAGGGGGGTTCTTTTTCTGAAAAAGTGGACCTTTCTCCATAAAAACTTCATGTACCTAGAGCAAATTTTACCCAGAGTGGACCTTTTCTCAGCAAAAGGGGCGGTTCTTTCCAACCCCCCGAACCCCCCCTGGCTACGGGCCTGCATGGTAATTAACAAAATGAAGACATGGTGTTGTTTTAGTAGATGTTCTCAGTCTAGACACAAGTAAAAATCCTTGACCCATTGGTTTTTTCTTCAGCTCCCACCTATCATGATTTACTGCTGTTACCCACATGTGTTCTCAGACTCCTCAATGTTCTTGATGAAGGTGAAGATGAAGATGAAGATAGAGATGAGGAGCGATATAAAGGTACCTTGGAAATGATCACAGTATTTACAGTGTATACAAGCTAGATGATAAGGGATGGGATTTTTCCAACTACTTAGTATGAGTGGATTTCTAACTTTTTGGCCAAAAAAATCATCAGCCTAGGCTGCGCCCTGGACCCCATGCCATATGTTTCGACTTTTTCACTAAATGGCAGCCTCATCCCTGGGTAATGAAGAGAATTTATCCATGGATATTTTCTGTCGAATTACAGTCATTTGTACAACAGTTTGAATTAACCATGTTTTGTGTGTCACTTTTGTATTGCTTTGGATCGATCTATTTGGTAACAAGCTGTTCGATGGTTTCCATCACTTTTCTCAATGTGGAAATTGTGGTAGAGAAGCCTTTCGGCACAATTGAAAAACGTTATGTCTGCTGTTTCAGATATCCAGACTGATGTGCTTAGTGAGTGTGAGAAGTATGGGCATGTAGTGAAATGTGTGATACCAAAGGAGGGACCAGGAAGAGGAAAGGTGGGCAACTGCTTTTAGGAATTATTTAAGGGCATATCATTATGTATTGAGGTTTTTTTATCTACTCATGGATGAAAACATTTAGGAAAGGAAATGAAAAAAAAAACATTTCTTTGATTTTGGTTAGAAAGTATTCATAATATTTAAGTAAAATTTTATTTTCTGATATGGTATGAATGCTGTTTAAGTTAAAACTTTACTACGATTATATGGGCCTTGTCATTCTACCACATCATATTCTTTATTGTTTGCTTAAAAACATGAGAAAAGCCAAATGTTTTACACCCCATTTCCATAGATTTTTAGATCGATCTATCCCTGTGGGGAGTCTCACAAGATTACTGTCAGCTTGGCCGGCTTAAGCGTCTGTCCCGCCTACTAAAAGCTGTAAAGGGGTAATTAACTATGGTGCCCACTCGGTTGACTGCAATTTAGCGTGAACCCCCAGGGAGTTAGGTCGATCTAAATCTTAATCTTTAGATCGATCTAAATCTCTGGGAAAGCACCCTAAGCCTCCATATCACCCTAGGCTGCTTCGATCAGTTGTTTTACTTACCACTTAATCAGTTATTAGTTTAAAGGCTCAGGGTAAGAATTCGGCAGGACCTCTTGAGGAGGAGTTCAGGATCACTCATGTCTTCCATCTTATAAATAACAAATTACATGAAGTGTGCACCGCAGGTTTTATGAACCTACTTACATGACATTTGTTTTAAAGGTCTCAAAAGTAGCTCAAAAAGACAACTATTCTGTACTGATTATAAAACACCAGCATTATTTCTATGTGAACTTAGATGAGATAAAGAGGGCGAGGGATACCTGGCATTTTTGTCAGGTCATATGCCATAGTACGCTGTCAGTCACAAAGTACCCCCAGCAGGCATCTAACCTGCAAACATGTATTACCCTGTGAGGTTACTGTTGCCACCCTGTGCTTCGGTGGTAACGTGAAACAAACTTCTACACTATAGCATACCCTTGCCATTTCAAGTTACCTCTGACCAGATTCATTTTGACCTAGTTTGTTAAGCCAGTCGAATTCATGTTTTCAAGTTTTTTCACCAAAGGTTGAGTAAAGTCTAGGAATATGCCCAGTGACACTAGAGCAACTCCTAGGTTTTTTATTGGCACAGCACAATAAACCTCTGTAATCTTTGATTGGTCCAGGTCTGGATTTGAACAAACTGTGCTTTGACTCATTCCCATTTACTGGTTAGACCATTAAGTGATTCACTGAGTGAGGGGCAGCCGGGCCCAAAGAATCTGGCCAGGGTATGCTATAGTGTAGAGGTTTGTTTCAAGCTATCTCTGAAGCTCAGGGTGACTGTTGTTGTTTTGACATTAAAAAGTCAATGACCTACAAGTTTAAATAAGGTCATGAATGGCGATTAATAAATCACATTTCCCCCTTCAAAAAAACTCTGTGCAAATTACTTCTGGTACAGATTTCCAAGAGTATCTCTCAATTATAAAATAACCCATATTTAAAATTGCATCGGTTTATGCCCTTATCAAGTCACTGAGTGCAAAATGAAAGGAACTGCAATTTTCCCTTTGTCCCGTGTGTAATCACATGCTATTTCAGTTTGATAATTTATAAAATTTCCATTTCCTGTTATTATTTTCAATTTGTTATATTTAACCTGTTTTTTTTCCAGGTGTATGTTGAGTTCAGTCAGTGCAGGGATTGTGAGGTGGCATTCTCCTCACTGTGTGGAAGAACTTTCTCCGGAAGAACAGTCATCACCACATTCTTCCCCCAGGACTGGATGGAGAGTGGGAGACTTCTGTAAACAACAAATGCTGGATGTTTGTGTATGTGGGAAATACAGTTGAGATAGTATTCATACATACAGAATTGGGTTGCTGTGTTTAGACTTACACAGAGATTGCATCCCCCATCCTCCCCCCCCCCCCAACGACCCCTTCCCTCGGCCCCTTAATAGGTTGTCTGAGAAGTGATGTTATTGTTGCCTGGTTCCATGCCCTGGAATCAGGATAGTTATGCTGGGGAATGGTAATACATTTTTCATGTTATATAGATTAATGAAGTGTTACTTTGGATAATTGAAAAACCAGCATAAGTTGAACAACCAGTGCTGCAGTTTTATTTGCTCAAGATTGGTAATTGCTTTGATTTTATTAAAAAGAACTGTAAATTTACTGCTATATGCAAACAAAACCTTACTTTTGTAGTAAAACCGACCTCCTTTTTTGTTGTACAAGATTTATTGAAAGAAGAGGAACTGATGTGAATGCAAACACCAGTAAGACAGATATTGAAATTGTTATAATCATGATAAATAATCATATACTACTTACTAAAGTAGATGGTAGTGAATGTTTGTTTGATATGGATTTAACTGAAGAATTCAGACAAGAAGGCGTGTCAAAACAATGTTGTATGGAATGGGAGATTGAAGAACTATTCAAGTTGTAATAAAGAACTTCCAGGATTCTGGAACATGTGGAGTATTGAAAATTAAACATTTATCAACAAAGATTAATCTCAACATCATGCTTTTATAATTTGTTATTGCTGAAGACATATTGTGAATTTTACATGGGGATTGGGAGGGCATAGTGCTATATATTCATTTGCCACATGTTACAGTATTAGATTGATGCACTGAACTTTTAATAAACAAGTCTGCTGTTTGTTTTGCAAGGTAATAAGTAGAAAAATTGGCTTGAAAATTTTTATAAGGTTTACATTTTTTGTTACTCTTCTTTCTTCTGTTTACAATATCAGCCATGACATCTTGCCATTATTATTATTATTATTAATGACAGTCACAGTGCTTGCCAATACTGTATTATTAAAGCAATAAAGCAATAAAGAACTACTCTATATGATTTATTAATTTATTTCAAAAGTATAAAAAGTGTTGCAAATAAATATTATTTGACAACAGAAAATGTTGTTACTTACAAATGTTAAAAAACAAAGCTTCGAAAAATTCTCAAATTTTCTATTGCATAATAACATGGAGCAAGTTTTTTCTTAAGAAATATGCCACGAGATGTTTTGGAATGAAAGGGAAGAGATTTGAAGATTTTTTTTCCTCTCTCGTATACAGAGATAGTCAAGTTTTCCGTCTGTTGATTTTTTGACATAAAACATTGTGCTTCTCTGTTTCATTATCATTTATATGATGTCTTAAGTATACATTTGTAATCTAGATGTGGATAGTTATAAAAAAAGAATAAATGTAGGCAATTTCAAGGCAGTAGTTTCAAGGTTATGTTCAACAATACGTCCAAATGTATTCTACGCACGAGGCAACTGTAGTTGCTAAAAAGAGAAAATGTAATTCTCGTGGAAAAAGAAGATATTAATCAGCGTCTCAAGAATCCTCATGTAAACTTGCTATTTCTATTTTAAGTTTAACAATAACATTTTGAAAGAATATGTGATTAATATCTTTAGCTTATAATTTAATTTATATTTAAACGCACAATTTTATAATGATTTATATACACATATTTCGTAAATTATCTTTCACCCGACAGAATTTAGCAATACTGTCTCAAGTAATGCAGACAATAAGGAGGAAAATATTTCCTCACTCATGTGCTTCTGCACTGTTACAATATCTCCCTGCGCATATTTTCTTTGCTCTTTTCAATCCCTGGAACAGACTTCATTGCACAGCTAATGAACCAAGGCTACGTTACTGAAGCTTCGTTGCAGCAGGATTCTGCCGTTGTACTTATATACAATTTTAATGATAAAATTTGAATATGATGAAAAAGCGATGCAACGTTTTAAAGGCGCAGTAGGTAAAATTCTTAAATAATATATTATATTTTTTACAGAAGGGAAACTACTAGATACATAGGAAGGAAATGAAAAGCTGGAAATATTTGGTCTTTTTATGCCTTGGCTTCTTCTTCTTCAGCCTCTTTTGCGGCCTTTTTCAACTTTTGAGTTTCGGAAGGTGCACCCTCGAAGAATTTGAGACGGTACAACAAATGTCCAAATTTTCCAATGTCCACCTGCCCATCCTCACTTGATGTCGTCTTGATGAAAAAGTCCACCTCTTTCTCGGTCAAGTTACGGCCAGTTTTGGTCATCAGACTCTTGAACCCTGCCCTTGCCTCTTCTGGGTCTATTGCCCCGCTTCCATCTTTGTCCATCTCATTGAATTTTGCCAGTAACTCTCCGACACTGAAATATAAAAAATATATTATTGATACTACTTTATAATAGGTATATTTATTACTTAATATTAAAGTGCTGATGCACTAGGAATTATATAATAAGTATGACTACTGGATCGGGAGATGTTTGGAAAATGAAATTCCAAGTAGCAGCTTTTTCTTCGGCTTCCAATATCTCAAACGCAGTTTACCAAGCCTCCCCTCTCTCTCTTTCCCTCCGTGCGAGTGTTTGTGTGTGCTTATCCATTTATTTATTTATTTATTTATTTGGGGCGTGCAGAAAGAAAATCACTATCCTACTTTTTTTTCGGAAATTTGGCCCTCGTTGCCTTTCCCGTGACATTTCCCACTTCTATAACCTTAAGACCAAATGTCACGTCGGTTTTTAATCAAAGATCACATAAAGTTACCCCAGAACACTGTCGATAATTAGAAATAGTTGATAATACCTGGGTTCACGGGCAGGCTGAATTTGATAAGATATCAAATCAGGCTGGCAATTTGTAAGCCCTCGTAGAAAATGGAAATATTTGAATTAACACACGGAGCTACAGGAACTACAGCGATCTGGCTCCATCTGTTGTATTTTATCACAAGAAACAGATACCTAAAGGTTTCAGTCTAGGTAGGTGTTTTGGCTGACTTGGCCACTGTAAAGGCTGTGGACTACCGGTGAGAACGGTATATAAAACAGGTGCTTGTGGTCAAATAAACACTAGGGCAGTGTGTACAAACAAATAATTCATCTAAGAATATGCACTATCCAGTGTATCATGTCATATTCGAAAAGCTAACTAAGCAAAGCATTAGGAAAAGCTCTAATGATACAATTTGAATAGGACTGAGATGAGGATGGCAAATAATAGATTTCACTCTTGGAATATATATCCATTTTGAACAAACGTTTTTTTCTTCTTGTTTTGCTTCATTTTCATTTTTAACGAACTACACCGCCTAACTACAAAGTTCAACGTGTTATTAGCTAGTTTTCTTCTTACAGAATTATCGCTTGTAAATAGTTACTTTAGTCTGTAGCAATCCAGGTCATTAAAAAAATACTTTTGTTGAAATTGCGTGTAGTTTCCAATTTTCATCTTCCCGTCATTACGTCACTTAATCCTGGTTTTATTGTTTGTTTAATGAGAGTTTCACTACATTTGATTGCCAGTTGGTGTAACCTAAGTCTCCCCCAGCGTGAGTTATATTGCTAGACATGTTTTATTATCTCTATTTACATCCACTCCTCGAACTGCAACATAGCTGTGCGCACAAATACATCACCTGTACCGTGTTTTCCTAAAGAACAGGTGATATTTAACATTTCGTTTCAAAATATATCAATATAACTATTTCTTCCGCCTTGCTTTCACATAGAATTATTTTACCATATCTTGTTGGTCACCGTTTGATGTAAAGCTGATAACTACAGAAAGCTATGGTGTGATTTATACTGCCCGTAATTTTTATTATCTCTCTCCCTGAACAAGGTAGGCCATGAGCAGTATATCTATTCGCAAGGATGTAAAAAGATATATTCAGTCCCAAACTGCGCCAATGGCTGCAAGATCAGTGCCATAAAAAAGGTACATTATCTCCGTGGATGATGATGACTCCTCGCTTTAAAGGCGCCTCACGCTGACGGCGTAGAAATTTTACGCTGAACGCGCTATTTTGAACTGGTGTTCTTTTTTCGCCAAGACGTGTTTCCATTGTTGATTTACAGATATTTTGGGAAAATTGAGGATGATGCGAATATATATATGAGGTTGAAGTAGCAGTGGGTATCATAAGTGGATGGTAAAAATGGGCGCAGTTTACCACAAGCCTAGATTAGACCCTTGCTGTAGAGAAAAGAAAATAAACTAGAGAGAGGTTAACACCATTTCAGATTCACAACATTTGCTGACAAAGAAATCATTTTTATGCTTAGTGTTACTTGCAATTATCCAAAGTCTAACCTCCCTGAAATTCCAACCGTCTGCATTTCTTTCATGATTTGTGGTTTACATGCCTCAACTAACTGGCCTTATGCCATTCACATAAACATTTTAAATGGTAGCATCTTCTGGCTGGTGTATCTCTTCTCAGTAATTCCAAATGTTTTCATTTTAGAATTAACATGCATTATAATAAATATATTAAATTGTACATACAGATGAATTATAAAGTTATTTGGAGTTAAGTGTGTTATTTTATATGCGACCGAAGGCGTATTGGCACAGCTGAATGAACAGTATAACACATGTGTGGGGGCTAGTTGTTTTTATCACCGCCTTAGTGTTATTTCCTGATGGCTCGTCGGACAAAGGCTCAAAGTACCGTTAGAAAACAGGTTATCTATATGATTATTGACTTGAATACAAGCATTGCTTCGAAAGACAAGTATTCACATTGAAACAATACGGGGACGTAAATTGTAAGACTTAAATACATTATTTTGATAATAACATTATTTTGATATACTGCAGTTATGCAATTAATTGAGAATAAGAGGTGTAAAGTCATAAAATCGCAAAATTATAGGACATTGATCTCGTTTGATGTATGGTCAACTTACCTGGATCCGACTATCGTATAGAATTGCTGGAACTCCCACATGCTAAGACTGCCGTTACCGTCAGAATCGAACGTTTTGAACATATTTTCCGCTTGTTCAGCAGTAAGCCCAAATTCAGTTGTAAGCATTGTTATGGCTTGTTCTTTTTTCAACCGACGGATGTTTTTCTGGGTGTATTTGTCAAACATTGCTTGAACTTCTTTTCTGCAAGAGAGAGTTGTCAGAAATATTGCAATTTCGGTTAGAGGCAAATTATTTATGATATCACTTACAAAGTCTACATGGTAGTTGCAGAGTTTTTAAATATTTACTGAGGAGGTAAGAAGCAGGATCGTCTGCTCAACAGCTGGTATGTTCTTTCTCTATTAGAACACTTCAGAAAAAGGGCAGCGAAAATTGTAGGTAAATGTTATCTGACAATGCCATCGTTAACTTGATACTAAACGCCTACTAAAAGTGAATATTTTCCTCGAGAGTACAAGAAGATATATCCCACTTCGCGAAACAAAACAAAAAGCGATACCAACATATTTATAATTTTTCTTGAAAATCGACATAGAACTCTCAGTCACAATCTCCATAATCAATTAAAAATCATCAAAAAGGCACTTGTAACTTATCGCTAAACTCCTAATAAATACTTACGGAAGTTTCCGTTGCGGCATGATGAAAGTATGATATAGATCGGATAGCTAAAGTGAGTGTTTATTCCGTAAGCCTTAAATCTCCAACTGTCTTCAGACGCTGTAGACTTTTTAATATATCCACCAAATGTGCTCCACTCGTATTTCACAGGGTCAGGTATGTGGAAAGCTCCTAAGGTATAATAATGAGCCAAATTGCTTCTCTCGATCAGCTTTATAATGCGTTGTGCAGGAAGGAGTAGGTTAATTTATGGGTGCGTTCGGCGTTTGGTGCAGCTGAGATTTTTGGTGAGTCATGAATATTCATCAGCGGCTTTTTTGTACGTTTCGGGTGAGGCCGATGAAAGGTTTTACAGGTGAAAATTATCGAATGCGTAAGTATTCCCATTCGAGTTTGTTTCGATTAGATTCCCAAAATTTTCACGTAGGATTATTGCCATAAATACACGATTTACTTTCAAGTTCGCGGCATCCAGTATGTTGTATCATTTATCGCATGCTGAGAGCATCTGTGATTACATTAAAACCTTTGGGAATGCAAATAGAAACAAGTTCAAATTACGTAAATGACAAGGAGAATTAGTGTTTCAGAAATAATTTCCATACGACAGAAGTGTAATATCAAAGCAATCCTTTAAATAGGATACATGTACTTCCGTCGTTTCTTGTTTTCAATTTCTGTAGTACAGTCTGTCAGAATTCCCCATCAGCACAGTAAAATTATGAGCTTGGTTTTGCAAAAATCTCCAAGAAGTCAACATTTTTTGCACCTTCAAGGGCCTCTAATGTGCGTTCTTATGCTTAATTTCCCGGCCCCGAATGCAGACCCAATGAGTCATCGGGTAGCTTCGGCACAGGTGTGACATCATGGTCTAAAAATAGCACTGCGCAAATGAAGGGGTTGCCCAGAAAGGTATACTTTCTGTCACAGCCAATACAATTTGAAATCAGCCCAGAATTATTCACAGCATGCCCACTTGGTTGTTGATCATTTTCAATGTTCTTGAGATGTATAATATGAACAACGATTTCGCCAATTAACGTACTTGGCAAACACTCGGCTGGTGTAGGTGAAGGTGCTTAAATCACTATATTGAAATGGTCTTCTCAAATAAAATATATATTTGAAATGGCCGATTAATTAAAAAAACTGCCAAATTATATCAGACAAATCTAAGATCCGTTTATTAGATCTTAGGACAAATTAAGTTTTTCCTACTTATCTCCAATGAGATAATGTACTAGCTTCATGCAAAATACGGAAGATAGATTTATTTTGTCTTAAGAGGTTTTATTTACAAGATGATATTTGTCATTGGTTACAAATAAATTACGATTTATTTCATTTCTCTGGTCACATGGTGACTTTCTTTAAAAAGTTCAATTGGCCTTGATAAGGTTTATCTTCAGTTGGTCGATACAATAAGGGTTATTGTAATGTTTTTCACACTACATATTTTTAAAATGAATTATTTCAAATAAAAAAATCTTATAAAATGTATATTCATGAAATATATAGCCACGGCTCTGAGGAAATATAATGAAGATCTGCACGTAACTTGTTCCAATTTTCTCCAAAAGAAGAGAAATCTGCAGCTTTTAAACCTTAATAATGAGATAAAAATCCTCGTGTAGTTAGCACACGTTGGAAATTTAAAAGAACGCTTTTAATGCTGACCTTTTTGACCAGTCAGGCAGACGTCTAGATGAAAGGCACACATCCAGGTAGGCCTAAGTAAAGGTAAAGCTACGGTGACTGCCATTACTTCACTGTCGACCCAACAATATCGATTGCGTTTATAGGGCAACAAGAGCAGCCAAATACGGTTGATAAGCTGTAGGGGTAGAAAACGGACTTAAAACGCAGGTCGCCTAAGCAATAAGATGTTCACGATTAGTAATTCAACCCGAGTCAACATTAGTGAGCCTGGTTTTCTCTAAAGCTAAGATTTTAAAACACCATCTGTGCACCATCAGGTGTGCGATGAAAGCAAGTGGAGTGAGAGATGATATTTCAATCCAGACCGTTCTTTTTTTCTTTTTTTTTTCTTGAAAACCCCAAAACTGACATCACTCAATTTTCTGATGACGTATGGAATAGCCTCAGTGAGTAGCGTGTAGCGGTAGCATGGTTGTTGACTGACAATCCAATGGTCTTCGCTTTTCCTATACTGTTTTGCGACGGAGTGATACAAACTAGCTGCCCATAATGCCCTTGTTACCTTTTTCGAAGCCCTGTCGAGAAGAAAGAACAAACAGAATAAGTAATTGTAAAACATTATGGTGCACAATCAATTTTAACATTATGCCAAAAAGAAAGAAAGTTACAATCGCTGTTGCTAGAATTTGGGTTGAAGTTTCATGCTATAGAATACTTAATATTGATGAACACAATGCTGTTACATTAATTAAAAACATACTTACTTTTACATATAGAACTACTGAGTTCCTTTCTTAGTTCATGCAACTCCTCTCGCGTACCTAATACCGTCTTGAACATGTGAGCAGATTTTGGATCGTCTGCTATAAATTTCATCTTGAAATTATTGATGTTTTTAGAGAAACTGACAGCATAAAGTTCAATGTTTTCAGCTTTGCTTGCCATTATTTCATCCATGGCGTCGTATGAGAATTTGGCGTCGTCGTCAAGAAGGATGACGCCAATACGTCGTACGTTTGTTCGAGCACCATGCTCGGGAGAGAAGTACTTTTTGCGCATGCTTGCAATCATTGGAGGAACCACTTCGTCAACTAAAAAAGAAGGCGGTTATTCTTTGTATAATACCATCATAATTAAAGGATCTTATTATTGATTTATTCTTCTTCTTCTTCCATTTAGATATAGAATGAAAACTATACTAGTCGATTTTTAAAAATGAAAACTGAATAACAATAACAATATCTATACGTGTCTCATTGCAATATTCTTATTATTACACATAAATGTGGTAACCTGCCTAGCAATAATGTAATACATTTTAAAAGTAAAATTTAATATAATGATTTCCAGTCAAAAAAAATCATTGCAAAGAAACCCTCTGATATAATATTACAATATAACTTATAAATACCAGGAAGATTGTGTAAATACGACGTCATTTCATTCCTTTCTTTATAAGTATTGAGGTAGAATCCCATCTTGGACAAACATTCGCTGGACACCAACGCAGCCTGAACACGTCCAGAATCAATTGGAAGATCGCTTATGACATCTTCAACAAATTTAAGGGCCTTGTTGGCTCGAACGCCTCCGAAACCAACGCTGTCGGATACGAACACTATATCGGCTTCTTCAAGATCGCTGCAGCATACATCTGAAAAATGTGACTTACGCCTTTTAACTTTTTTCTAAAAGGATCAGAAAACTGTTCTTTTTCATCAACCTAAATGTCAAATATTACTTATATGCGATAAAATTATGAAAACTTTGACTTGGTTATAAGTTATACTTGTAGTAGGTCTAAGAGTATTGCTGAGAGAGAGGTTACTTACCGTCACGTGCGTCTCGAGGAAGAGGGGCAGGTACTGAAATTTAACGTTTGCGGATATAAACTCGTATGTATATACTATAACACGCAGGTGACATTTAAATCGTTCTCACTTCTATGTCTACGTATAACTATTCCGAAAATTTTCTTCATAAATTATGTAGGCTGCATTATATCCCATGGATTTGAGCAACTGGGTATTTTTAGCCATGTCTCAGAGTGCATAGGGCCTACTGTTTAAATGCTGGGTAAATTTTTTTATGCCAACCGTCTATATATCACAATTATCGCGATGTAGTCCTACTTACGCTCCGGACACTGTCCCGAGTCACACCCACGATTCTGTTCCCGCAGACCCGGGCATTCCATGCCTCCAATACCGGGCAGACAGGTGCGTGTACGTGTCTGAATGCCGCGCCCACAGGACACTGAACACGGTTCCCAGCGGTTCCAGGTAGTCCAAGACGCTAAGGTTTAAATATATATGAAAATAAAATACTGGTTTGATATTTAGAATTAAGTACGTTTGGACGGCAGGGGGCTCCTCTTTTGCTGAAGTCGCAATGAGCCTGTTTAAAGACGGTAAGATTGCATTATGTCATAATAAATAAATTGCAAAGTTTCCTGCACTAAAGGCATAGATTGTCATCATCGAATAAACTGTTTTGATTATTTTACTGTTACACAGCAATTCTCTCACACCGTTCACTCACAGCACTGTCCAACGGTACAAGTCCGTCGCTCGATATCATCTCCCTTACAGTCGACACCAGGCGCTCCACCAGTGCATATTCTGGTTCTGGCATGGTTGCCATACCCACAAGTGGCAGAGCAAGCGCCCCATGCGTTCCAGGTAGCCCACGATGCTAAATAATAATAACAATCAGTTGATTTTAGAGGAAAAACGCACCTGGATATTTACATCTGTGTCTATACGCAAAAGGGCCCTGAATATTTGGCCTGTATCAATTGAAGTTAAAACATTGAACATTTCAAATAAACTCAAGCAGATATTTGTGTAAAAGATTAACATGTTACAGCTGCCACATTCTGTTTTTTCAAGAGAAGGATGAGCGAAGAGAGCACGTGCAATTCATACCACATTCTGTAGTAGCGCATGCGCGTTTATCTTCTGCAGCACCAGTGCAGTCCTCTCCAGAAATACCAAAGTCGCACAATCTGGTTCTCATCTGTAGACCACCGCCACATGTGACTGTACAACTACTCCATTGCGACCAAGATACCCAAGAAGCTAATATTGAGATAAACTAGTGATTACTTTAAAAAACAGTCATATTTTTTTGTTAGAAATAAAATAAGAGTTAGATGTCAAAGATAATAGATGTATTGAACTAAAAATTGAATGACAGAAACTGATTGGAAAAAGCTTACGCATGCGGTTATTTTCAAAACCATTGCCGCTTTCAAGCGTAAGCTGTTGGATAAATAATATAAAATACGTTTTGTTAGTGTAAACAAAGAATGAAATCTGCTTTGCTGCGGTTATTAGAGCAAGGAAAGACCGTCGACTTACGGCACGGCTTTAAATAGCAATGCGCCCCTTCTTCGGACGTTCCAGTACAATCAACACCAGGGGCGCCACCGTCGCATACCCTTGACCGTGCTTTGAAGCTTCTGCCACACGTTGCTGAACAAGCTGACCATTCTCCCCAATTTGCCCAAGATGCTTCAGTTGGCATGACGTTATGGGATACATATATAAGTTATACAGCATGCAGATATAAGGCAATGATTACATTTGAAGCGTGCAAGCATAGGCTGTATATACAAAATTAATGCACTGTCAGAATAGAAAAGAGTCCAGCAGGCACGTGAGGTACTTGAACTTTTAAATGATGTACACATAAAGCTGAAAAATATAGATATCAGACTGCACCTTCGACAGAGAGTCTGGATTTTCTTTTTCTAGTATCTGTAAGTTCCCATTCGACCAATAAAACTCTCTGATGTTTTGGGACTCCCGCATTCTCGTCGAAATCATTAAAGAAACGGATATTTATTACCGGAATCCTCAAATGCACTTCCAGAACGTAACACAGAATAGTTTTTAATGCGATTTATAGGCATAAAGAGTTTTGGGTACCCGTTAGGTCTTCTGTCGGAGGAGCAGAAATGGCAGTTAAACGAAAGATCTGATTTATCTTAACCGAAATAATATGCATCACTTGCGTGCGTGAGTATATATTTGACAATACGATGTGTACGCTCATGCGTATATACGTATGCGTTATAAGCAGAGACAATGAATTATAAAAGGGCGATTGATACGTGCCATTATATACCACGAAACGGACATCTGACAGACTGATCTAAAGTTGAGTAAGAATCAAAGTTTTACACGGTGTTTGCTTACCACAAGGTTTGACGTTGCACGTTCTTCCTTCTTCGGATTCACCAACACAGTCCACACCGGCCACTCCGCCTTCACAATGGCGTGTTTTTGATTGAAACCCGTCACCACATGTAGCCGAACACTCGCTCCATGACGTCCAGGAGGCCCACGATGCTGCAGAAAAACAACTTAACATCACAGTGATTGGACATTTTCTCAGCAACGAAGATAAAGGTCTGTGGGTATTTTGACGTATTTTCAATATTTACCATTTACGATTTTTTTTATCCAATTGTTACATCATACATATTCTAAACACAGAACTGAATAACAAATAAAGATATTTCATATAAATTTCAATATAGTCTATATTCGAAAAACAAAGAGCAGATAAATAAATTTATAACTTACGACATTGTATAATATGACACTCCTGCTCTTCATCCTGGTCTCCAAGACAGTCTACACCGGGGGCGCCATCTATACACAGCCGTTGTCTGGACTGGGTGCCACTGCCACATGTCACCGAACAGTCGGTCCAGGGAGTCCATAAGCCCCAGGTTGCTAAATATCATTATTGTTATAATTATTGAAATTATTTTTATTATTATTATTGTGCGGGGGTTAGTGAAGCCCATAACGTTTCCTCTGAAGTATGGACACCTAACCATTTTATGACTTTGTGATTGTAGGATAGGGGTAAATTCCAGTACATCATGAAGTGAATCATTATTTTTATATATATAAAACAGAACAAAAAAATTTATACACAACCAAAATATTTGATAAATCACGAGTATTACTGTGTTTCTATAGCCTTTCCTATTTGAAAATAGATCCCTCACACGTGGCTCCCAGAAAATGCATGCGCGTGGGTTCTGCTCATTAGGTTCCTTCACTTCGGGACGCCCAAGAGTTGCGTCTCAAACATAATTTGTTCATCTTACTGTTTCGCATGCCCGCTTTTTTTAGAACCAACTTATATTTTAACTTTTTACTTACGACAAGGGATCATATTGCATTCTTGTTCTTCCTTCCCAGCTCCCGGGCAGTCTACGGAGGGGACACCATCTTTACATAACCGAGTTCTGGACTGCAAGCCACTGTCACATGTTACAGAACAGTCGGTCCACGGCGTCCAAGAATCCCAGGTTGCTAATATTAAAAAGATAATAATAATAATAATAATAATAATAATAATAATAATAATAAATGAGATACAAAGGAATGGATAGATCACAGTTATTAATGGGCCCTTCCGGCAAACACACTGTGGTACATGTAACATATCTCAGGGATTTATGCTCGTGTTTAAAAATGATAGATAACATTAATTCAGATGGTCTCTTCATAACGTGATTCCTTCTCCTTGAAAGATGTACGTTTCCATTGTAGTACGAGTTAAAGTTCTGATTGCTTGCTGTTTAAACCAACTTATATATAAAATGTCCCCTTACGGCAAGGTTTCAGCCTGCACTCTTGTATTTCTTCACCATCTCCAATGCAGTCTACACCGGGGATCCCGTCTGTACACAGTCGTGTTCTGGTCTGCGAGCCGTCGCCACAACTTACCGAACAATCGCTCCAGGGAGCCCAGGAGCCCCAGGTTGCTAACATGTATAAAAATTTGATATATGACATAGATAAATGATCTTTACCGAGTCCCGACATAGTACGAATAGTGAAGCATTATCACTATCATTATTATAATACCTATCATTATTTACTTATATGTAAATATTTCCAGTCACATACATATTTGTATGTGCGAATGGAACAGTGAGGATATAATGCGATTACATGGCCCTCAGTAGAAAATTAATCGAATACGCCTTCTGTATTCCTAGTGAAGTTTTTCCACCTTAAGTTTTATAGATACAAGTTGCTTGAAATGAGTATCCAGTAATCTCTGAAGCTCAAAGTGCATTTGTCTAACTAACGCCTTAAATAATAGACTGTTGTTCATACTGACTTACGGCATTGCTTGTTATTGCATTGTTGCCCTTCCTCGGATTCTCCATCGCAACCGGCACCTGTGCTATCATTACAAACACGCGTACGTGATTGAAACCCGTCGCTGCCACACGTTGCTGAACACTCGCTCCAAGTGGACCAAGGATTCCAGAATGCTGTTCATTTTGAAAACAAAACAAAAGCACGTGTTACGTATGCAATTGGATTTTGGTACGCGGAAATTATCAACATTATCAACTTTATTGAAGTAACTTGACTTAATGAAAGCAAGAATATGTTTGTGTGTGCGCGTGTGTATGTGTGCATGTGAGTGTATGTATGGGGTATCCATCCGTTCTTGATTTTGCTCCCCCCCCCCTTTGTTCGTACAATATTACTTAGAGCGTAGGAATAGCTGTATTTACCAGCGACTGTCTGCATATAACACGTGACTCTGAATATGGATCTGGTGCGTCACTCCCCCCTCCCCCCTCCACCCCCAATAAAACAATTTTTACTTTTTTTAAAATCAGATTTCTACTTACGACACTGTGTGAGGATGCACTGTCTGGATTCCTCTGGCTCTCCAAGACAGTCTTTTCCTGGGAACCCTCCGCTACAGCGCCTCCGTCTGGACTGGGTGCCGTTACCGCACGTGGCTGAACAGTCGCCCCATTCTCCCCACGACACCCAGAATGCTGTAGGTGAGAAAACAGATCAGCAAAAAGCAATCAAATTTTATGAGATGCGCTAGAAACTGAACGCATTTCGACCAAGGCTCCAATCCAATGACCACACGAAGTAACCAATGCTGTGATAGAAAGAAGAGATACAAAAGAACAAATCTAACTGAATACAGTTATCGCAAGGTGATTGACAATTGCTAAACGTCCTAAAAAGACCCCGAGTGACTAAGAAATAATCATTTTCTATACATAACGATAATACAAAGATTAACAAACAAGCGAACGAAAGCATATATATATTAAAAGCATATATATATATATATTAAAACTGACCGAAATTTATGTAAGAAAATTCAACCTACGGCACTGTTTGAGGTAACACTTTCGCCCTTCTTCAGATTTCCCCGGGCAGTCCTCACCAGGGGCGCCACCCTCGCACACACGTGTCCTCGACTGGAAACCTTCGTCACATGTTTCTGAACACTCACTCCACTGGGTCCATGTGACCCATGATGCTATATAAATATATCAAGCAAAAATATATATTTGATTCTGTATACATAGTCAACTTATGATTGAAACTATTTTTTATCTCGTACAAATCCTGTGGTACGGATTTTTCTTTGGTTTTTGTCGGAATAGACATTAACATGACCTAACTCGCAAAGATTTTCGGTGCTAAAATTTTCTTTTTTTTTTAGAGTCAACTTTTATTTTTATAAAGACGTATAATACATAAACATGAAACAAAAGGTTCATTTCATACAAAAAGCAATTTACGAATTCGGTTTTTGGCTTTTTAGCATCACATCACAAACGATGTCAATCCATAGAAAAACATAACATGTACTCGAGATTGGTCCAAATTTTATCTGGTATACAGTTTATCGAGTGAAAAATCCGCTTCCCTGCAGTCTGGGGCCAGCAAATGGCGCGGTAATACTTGCCTATTGGCAGTTATGCTACAGACAAAACTTAAACGGCGTACGTTAGACATTGGAAAATTTAAAAAATGCAGATGTAAAAGAAAACTGCAAACCTACCGCAGTTTTTGGTCGTATTGCACGCGCGTCGTTCCTGGGCGTCCCCAAGGCAGTCGACTCCGCTTACTCCGGCTATACAGTAGCGTGTCCTGACCTGGAGCCCTACCCCGCACGTGGCGGAACACGTGCCCCATGGATACCAAGGCGCCCAATTGGCTGAATGTTAAAACATATCGTATTTTTACTCTGCTTGAACAAGAGCTCCGGCTTTTTCAACCACGTGCTAGTAAATCCTAAGCGCAATGAGCATGGGATTCAGATATTTTCAGTAAAATGTATTCTTTAATAGGTTATAAGAATATTACGTCGCTGACCGACACCCCAATAAAACGATGTCTTACTTCAAGTACATCAATTATTTTTTCCCGTAACCCCACCCTGTAACCAAAGTATTTTCCCAGAGTGGTTCAGCCCCACAACGAAATCGCTTCCTACGTGCCTGCTGTAAACGTTTGGAGCTACGTTCAATGTGGTATGTGCCTCTTCCAATCACATTTATGTTAATTACAAACGTTCAAGTCGCCATCAATATTGGGGGAGCAGTCTTGCACGTTCATAGTGAAATTACCCTTGACTTACGGCATGGGTTTGTGTTGCACGGCTGTATTTCCTGGGCTCTGCCTCTACACTGCTCCACTGCGCCGTCACAACGGCGGGTCCTTATACCCCCGTCGCACGTCTTACTACACATGGTCCATTTGCCCCATCCAGGCTGTGAGATGGGTTTGTCTGTGGAATAGAAAGACGTATCTTACATTTTCAGGGGTAGACAACAACCATGTGCCTCCCGTTCTCCCCCTCCACCCCACCCCCCAAATAAATAAATAAATAAATAAATAAATAAATAAATAAATAAACGAGATAAAACCTATTTTGTTTTGATGGCTCCGGAGCTTTTTGGCGTCAAATAGCTAATTTGTACATGGACGCCCAGAGAAGCAAAAACAAGCGAGATATTTTGTTTTGATTCTTCCCTGTATAAAGGTATACTGCGCACTTACTTGCGTTCAACCTTAGAAGCCACAGTTTTTGGTGTTTAAGTGCATATACACATGCAATTTTTTTTATCTGTCAAGGAAAATTATACGTATTCAGCCTGACTTGTAGTAAAACGAAATCAATGAGATAGCTTTTGATTGGAAGGGCAATTTTGATAATGTATCTAAACGCTTGTTGCAGTAATGGTCTTATTATTGTATACCTGGGCATACTATCCTGGATATTTGTTCCTTCAAGTCAGCCAGTGTGTCATAGTTCTCCACCGTGAACACCATCTTCTCCCCCGGCATCTCTGCGTGGTCACTGGCAATGTTACGGAGCTCGTTCAGAGAGTATTGCTTGCCGATTCCAACAGCCACCATCGTGATACCTTGATTCTTGGCCTGAAAATGATGGATCTTCATTTATTTCATCCGCAATTGTTAGTTCTGTCGGTAAAAAATTATGCTGTATGTTATCTTTAATCAAGGTCTGCTTATAGCCAACATAAAGTAGATTTATTTCTTGGGAAACCTTTTTGTGTTTTTTCTCTTTTGGCAAAAAAGAAACTGTCAATCACCCGAGAAATCAAATGTAAGGTGCTAAATGTTTAATAAAGAAACTATTTAAGAAAGGGTCCTACCTCGGCCGCCTCTTTCTTCGTAGCTAATTGGTTCCGAGACTTGCCGTCTGTTATTACTACAGCAACGTTAGGAACATCCGGCCGATCACCGTTTTTTGACAGGAAATAGTCCATGCGCATAAGATTGATAGCCTTATGCGTGTTTGTAGAAAACGTGTCTGGTTGGACAATCTTTTTAATTGCTTCCCTTACTTCTTTTCCTGTTCGGTATTTATTGAGGTAAAATTGATCCCTGGCATTGGTTGCAAATGTTAGAACACCAATCTGCGTGGCATTTTGTCCTATTTCGAAATCTTCAGTTATACGAGAAAGGAATTTAAGTTGCTTCATAAAATTCGGTTGCCAGATGCTTGTAGATTCGTCAACCACAAACACCAAATCGATCTTTTGGGTTTGACATGGGTCGCCTAAGAAACAGAACTGAATAAAGATTTTTTCTGGACAATGCGATACACAATTTAACAAAATTCATAGCCTGACTTTTGTCCTGAATATTTAAATCAGTTTTGGCATTATGTACGCTTTCAATAATTAAGGATGCTTATTATTCATATTAAAAAAGAGATTCTTTTGAAACACCCAAGAATGAATCCAAGACAAATGTTTTCTCACCAGGTTTACGGCAATTTATAGTAAAACATGTCTTCCCCTCAATTTCTAGTCCTACACAATCCACACCAGGGGCACCATTTTGGCATTTCCTGCGTCTGACCGCCTGACCTTGACCGCACGTGACAGGGCAAGGTGACCATGGTGACCATGTCGTCCACTCCGCTATAGGAATAAAAATACAATGATGATGGCACTCAAGATAAATATTTTTTTGTGAAACATTTTGGCGACAACGATAGCCAGGATGTCGTCAACGCAGTTTCATTATTAATTTATTCATTTTTTTTTTAAATTTTCTTTTTGAATAATATTTCATTTTTTTTTTGTAATAATCGAACTGTCATTTCATTTTGAAAATTGCTTGAAAGCACGCCCAAACAAGAAACCCTGGCTTAACACGCTCTGGAAGAGCTATAAAAAAGTGATTCACCGCACGGTGTTGGGTTGCATGGCTCCACGTCTTCTGCCGTCCCTTCACATCTCTCAGTTATCCCTTCACAGAGCCTTGACCGCCCCCGTGACCCTCCACCACAGGTCTTGCTGCATTCTGTCCACTGACTCCACGCGCCCCACGTGGACGCCACGTCTGACAGCGCCTGGCTTTCTTGTCCTGTAGAAGGCAGGGTGATTTATTTGATTAAAATTTCAGTGGGAAAATTTTGGAAGCCAGCGAGCGACATACCCATCCTTTTCTTAGCTTTAGAGGCCCCTTCTCCCTCCCCCCAACCTCCTTCTGCCTATCAGATACACCCCAACAAGTTAAACCATACCAAATTAAACAATTGCCATCCCCGCGCCCTTCATTTTACAGTAAAATGTCCTCATCCTCTTATTTTCTACTTGCCAAGTGAAGAGAATGACTGCCCCAAAACCACTCACCCCCTAGCAAAATCCTGAATTTATCTTTGAATTTTCCACTGCGGCAAAAATCTCATGTACAGCTGTCTTTTTTCTGTGCTGTTTAACCACTTAATAAGCAAATAGGATGCAACTGGTGTCTGAGAGAGGTTAAAGCTCCCCCACACAGTATAAATAGTGTTCCCCCTATCTGGTCAATATATCGGGGACAGTTTGTGTGGATGGATTTTATTCTGTGGGGTCTTAAAGCCAAAGGAGCAGCTTTCCAAAAATGTATTAGTATAACAAGAACAATTTGGGTAAGCGGCTTTTAGCTGGAAGATGGATTTGATAGCAGCCTTAATGCTGCGTGAAAAGTAAAGTAACAAATTTTACAATTTCGAACATCATTGCATTTACTAACATGCAAATCGTTTTTCGACACAAAACGTATCTGTAAACATCTTACCGGAACACATTACTTTTGCAATTTCAAACCGAACTTCGTCCAGAGCTCCATATTCTTCTACAGTGAAAACAAACTTTCCCATTATCCCAGGTCTGTTACTGGCAATAGCATTGAGTTCTTTTATAGAAAACTTCCTACCAACGCCTATAGCAATCATAAGAATCCCCTCTGTTCTAGCCTGAAATAAAATGCAGATACATTTTATTTATTGTTTAATAGTTATGGGTGACAAATAAATATAGACGACAAACTTTCATTTTAAATTTAGGTAATTTGAAATGAATACAAACCACTCAATAACAATTTTGAGATATTCCGAAAATTTTCAATTGCATTGCACTTGAAAACTTTGATAACACTTACTGATACCAATTCCCTTCACCTTTTTTCTTGGTTAGAAAAATACCGAATTCGAAACGTTTCATTTGTGTCTGGAACACTTTACCTGCGCAGCTTCACGAGCTGTATCCTTTGGCTCGCGCGATTCGCCATCCGTTATCACTATAGCAACCTTTGGGACATTCTTTCGAGCTCCTTTCTCCGGCAAGAAATATTTTTCACGCACCCTTTGAATTGCTAAATGCGTATTCGTTCTCCCAGTGTTTAACTGCCGGATGTATGATAATGCCCTCCGTACATCTTTCTGTGTCTTATATGTGTTGAGATAGAAATGGTCAGTTGTGTAAGTGGCAAATGTTAAAGCTCCAATTTGTATGTCGTCTGGTCCGATTGTTAAGTCCTCCGTCACTCGGGAGAGGAATTGCAATTGCTTTTTAAAGTCTGGCTCCCATATACTTCTTGATTCGTCTATTATGAATACTATATCCAAGCGAGGGCTTTTACACAAGGCGCCTCTTGTGTTGTTTACCTGTAAGAGAGAGAAACATGACTGATATCAAACCGATTACACTGACAATATATCGACATATTTTCTAATAATCAGATTTCTAAAAAGAAAATGTAATGGAGAATGCTTCGACTTTTGAAATGCTCGAAAAATCTTGCATTACATTTTCCACCAAGACATAACCAATATTGACAACACGTTCGCAATTGAAGCTACCTAGTTTAGTTTCGCTAAAAGTAATGTGCTAGATGTGACTGCTGTTTGGCGTGGTAGCTTGGCATCATTCTGAATATGCCTTACTGTTAAAAAACAACAAGAAAACATTATTTTTAAAAGAAAGTATTATAGAATATTAAAAAATACCATAATCTTATTCACATATGGGTAAGATTTTAAGACATCCTTCAATTTTCAATTTCTACACTGTTCTCACTAAATCTGATATTTTTGACCCGACAAAGCATAGTTTTCTATGAAAACACTGTAAAGGCCACATATACTTGTTTATTGCCTGAAGTTTATGCGACAATATCTCCTATACATTTCCACTGGTTGGTCAAGGATTTTTGACCACCCATCCTTCCACCATTGCACATAAGATATTATTAATTGTTAGTTTATTAGTTGCTTTTGAGGGTTTCTGCGCCATTTTGTGTCAGACTTTTGGAATTTCCTACGTTGCTTAGAGTATATCCATCTCGCAATTTATAAAACGCGTAAAAGCAAAATGTCTACAACAGTTTGGACAAGGCCACCACACACAAAGCACAGGCCATAGTGGGTGAGAGGGGCATGTAGTTTTAATGGCCCATCGCTGGATTGAAATAAACCACTTTATATACGCGACCAGCCGGTGACCGCACATGCTGTGAGTACTGTGGTGGCATCTTTTTCAGCATGCTCTCACAGCAGAGCAACACATGTTTCTAAAACACGTCAACAGTATATCATGTATGGTTGAGACTTTTAGCATAACCCCGACAAACTTGACTACACGTTACAATTGTTGCTATGTTAATGAATTTTGACTTCTCGTGTCTATTGGGTTAATTAGAATTCTCTTTAAAAGTAGTGCCTCTTACGGAATGGTACGTGATGTTTTGGTAAATTAGATGTATCCCGATTGTTATTTCTAACTTTGTTTGATGCGGGTCTTGTGGACGGATTCGCCCCGAGGAGAAACACACGTAACGTTGTATTTCCGAATCAATCCCAGTTACCAAACCCATTGAAATGCTCATATTTTCATTGTTCTTTTTTGAAAGCGATTACCGCTAACGAGCTTCATTCCAACAAGCGTAACGGCGATGGAATGTTTTGGACTCGCTTGTATGGATCACAATGAGGGGTGAAAAGTAAGGGCCACTTCACAGTTGTTGTTCTAAGTGTTCTGGTCATCCTGAAACAACATTTACTCGGCCACGAACACGTGGTTCTCTCTTGCGTTAATAGACAGTTACACATTTCAAGAGGTTTCTAATGGATTGCTGGTAAACCTACAGTAGTAGCAGAGAACCACTTTCGTCTTTCAGCTAAAATACAACGAGCAAAGTGTCACTCTTTTATCCAAGGCGCTTAATGCTTCGTGCTTTATTCTGCTACCAAAGGCTTTTGTGTCTAACAGGAGCGGGGATCATAACTAACTTTTACAAAGTGATTGGTTCAATTATAAAATTTTCGTTTTCCCGAATTTTAAGCAAGGATATTAGGCCTACCAATGCTGTAAAAACATGAATACAGCTTTATCAAAAAATTTAAGATCCCGCGGAGTGTGTAATCAGAACCAGCAGATGGTTTTGATTGCCTGGACTGACAATAACATTACATACCGTAAATTAAGACCACGTGTTGACCACACTATAGATCGGACCTCAGTATCGTATTTTTAACTGACTCCAGGTGAGATAAATGAGAACTGACCAGTAAAGCCCCCCTCTGTCTGCAATATGCTATCGTGTTTGGCAATGCAATAACCGGCTTTTCTCCGCTTACATAATCTGCCTCGTGCCGCGAACCTCCCTCAGCCGTGAAGGTCCCGCTCACACCGGTGGTTATTAAGATCTCGGTGAGATGTGTGTACGTGTTCGCAATCTTCAAATGTTTTTTTTTCTTTACGGACTAGGTTAAGCCAAATGCACTTCAAACATTGCATTGGCCATTGCTACTGCATAACAATGATACAATTCTGGCATTTTTGTACTTCTTAGAAAAAAAAAACACACGTGCACACACACTCACACATAGTAAAAAAATCAAACACGTATAACAAAACTTACTACCACTGGCAAAGAAACTTCTTCGAGGAATATCTCATATCTAACAAGCTAGATATCCAGTGCGTCGCGTTTAAATAAAATTTTCATATTCATATTTGATGTTAATCGCATTTTCTTTCTTGGCTTTTATCTGGGTAATAGTAAGTGAAAAACGATGACGTGCAATGAAATCATAATGATGAAAACGCCTTACGCCGAATTAGAACATTATTCACTGATGGGATCGAGATTATGTTAAATGTGAAAAAAGTTCAGAGTTTAGAAACACTCTTGTACTCCTGGACAGGAGTTGAATTGGGTATGCAATAATGAAGTAAATTTGGTTTAAATCATGTTTAACACTGATTGGTTACGACACTCAGACAGTTCCAGTGTGGTTTATGGAGTGTTTTAATAGGAAAAGAATCTCGTGCACACTTTTGAACTGGTTAAATAAGATTATTTTACGATATAGAAATTCTTTGGAATTTCTATACAGAACGGTTTCGTGCCTAGTTTCTTGAATATCAATTTGCTGACACCAAGCATAAGCATATGCAAGATATTCCTATAATCATTTATAAAGGAGGTAGATGTGAAAATACCAGTAGTCTGAAATCCCTTTCTCGTCTATGGGAACGTTTTCTAAAGGAAGTTCCAATTATTCTTAACTGCCTTGCAATTCTATAAGTGATATATCAGTGCTTTGTTTTTGTTGCCCTTTTCTGTTTCACAAGATAATCGTAAATGGTTGTTTAACTGCGGAACACACGATAAGATCCCATGGTTAATTTGCAGCCAATTGAGGTCCCCCGCCACGTGTACTTTGAAAATAGCAAGTTTTAAGTTTCCTTTTAACGAGATGGTGCATTGAATTTTTGTTGCCTTGAATCTTCCCACTTACCTTTCAGATGTCCAATTATTGCATGTATTTTTAAAACATATAATTTATTAACTATACTTTTCCCTAACGAAATTATTACCACTTCTCAGATGTTATTGCATTAATCCACAATGCAAATTTCCAAAGAAAACGTTTAAGGGAAGTCGTGAAATAACAGATTTAAATAATCTTAAGTTTTCTTTTCATATTCTATAATTGGTAAGTGAGTACTAAAATTGTCAAACCTCTGAGCTAATGGGAAAATCTGTTCTTTATATTATGCCGCCTTTAATAATTCTATACCGGGTTGAGCGTTAATTAATATCGCGGCATTTCGATGCAATCATGTCATAGCTCTCTATTGTTCCATTGCATGTATGAGTACAAAATATGTTTCTTTTTCGTTTTCTTTTTGCCGATAATAGCCTTTCACCTGATACTTGTAAGTTTTACTCATTTTAGGATTAAATTTTCCAGACTAAACTTGGGTTACCCCACCAGGAGTGCCACGGAGCCATTTTGATAATCCTCCATGTTCTATCAGATATGGGAATCCAAAATTTTACTGACACCATCCCTTATCGGTTGCTGGTGTGAAAAAGTATCGCAGCGTCAGAATCATCAATTCCCAGCAACACATAACTTATAGTACACGTATATGTCATTTGCATGGAGAGAAAACTCACTGAACCTTGAAATGAATAAACGAACCACTTCCTTCTTGTTAGAAGCAAGCGATTATTTGAAGTGACGACGTCGTTATGTCAAATTATTTCTGAGGGACCCTTAAGACCCCGAACGCTATTAGACAGTAGGCGCGCATAAGCTCACGCCCAAAATTCTTGACAATCGCATCCAACATACATAAAAAAAGCGAAATATAATTTGGCAATCCTTAAACCAGAAATGAAAAAGGTACTCGTCAACAGATGGGTTAAGAGTCAGTGTTGCCTGTGTCTTCGATAATGTACAAATTATGTCTAGGTTAGAAGAATAGGTATGCATTTGGAATTGTGAGTGCCTAACTGAATTATGTGGCATTGCCGAGGTTTCTTTGGCCGCGGAAGTTTCAAAACAAAAGTACGAATGATATGAAAATACAAGGACAAAGTTCAGCGTCGTTATTTTAAATCAGTTTTTTGGTTTATTTTTAACAAAGCCAGAAAGAAGTCTTGTTTCTTAGATACATTTCTGATATCGAAAAGCTTTAGGTCTAGTCTCAGCGGCAGCCGGCATTAAGCCGATGTGTACAAGAATACCGTTTAAGAACTTGTTCAACGCAATTACTTACCTCGAGGTAGATTTTCTGGTGGTCACCGAGTTGTCCACTGCACACCTTGACCCATGACAACACCAAAAACGCGCCGATTACACCGGAAAACATCCTATCCGCGCCCCAGCGCGATCGTGCCCGACTCAGCATGCCGACTCGACCCTGGGCGTGGGGCTCAACGCATAAATCAGCCCCCGACTTCTGCCTTCCCGCGCCCGAGTGAATGGCAAAGCTTGGGAAGAGGGGCAGCTTTGACACCAAGGCAGGTTGACTTAAGAGGCAGAAGGTTTAATAAGATTCACCAAAGTGAGGTGATGATGTTTGACATCTGACCCGTTAGGGTGCGCGCCATATGTGTTAGGATTGCGTTTGGGGTGGGCAACGAGAGGGGCTACCCACGTGTACGCGATTAAAAGCGGGGAATGCTTCATGGATTATATCTGAGACGTCTACTTTTATTTTAATTCGTTAATGGATCACTTAGTGCGGTCTCTCTGCGTGAAATAGTTCAGTAAAGTATCATCGTGTCACTGAAAGGGAAGTGGACACACCGAAAGACGGCTTTTGTGGAAGAGAAAAAAATCTCATGGATAGCGCAGTGTTAAAGTCCCTTGGTTTTACTGTTTCATTCATTCATGGCCATTGTCGCAATATTTTCTCCTAAGTCGCTTCTGTTATGTGTTTCAAAACATGCATGCATCTTGAGTTCGAATATACGGCTGACGTGTAATCATATTTGACGAACGGGTGAATTTGGGTCTTTTTTTTGTGCTGTGAATTTTTTTTCATGTGCATTTGCTCCGCGCGCCATGGTATTTTTTAATCCAAGAGTTTTCATTCAGGGTTACGCAGTAGATAAACATTCCGATCTGCAACATCAAATAGATGAATAAAAATGAACGTTGTGTGGCGCACGTGTTATAAGGATACCTCATACGGTTTTAGTTTAAAAAATTATCCCGCATTTAAGTCGTTTACGATTAAATGAAAAATATTAAACAAACTTCAGAAAGGACGCTTAATGGCTTACAAGAAAATTTAATTGATTAGGGTACACTGCCTTTTGATGGATGTTTTAACCATCTGTTTTTATATTATTTCAAATAACGTCAGAAATTCACCGAACATCGTATTGAGTGAAAATTTCATTTGTTTGTTGATGTTGAGGTCGACACACTCTGGACACAATTCGTACATGTATCCGTTACACCAACAAGCTATTAAATTTGTGACTTGTGATTCTGCGGATATAGTGATCAAAACGTTGATGATGAAGATGAGATGTGCGTCAGTTGACCTGTAATAAGCACAATCCTTACTTAACGTGACTGTAAATTTTGCCATGCGCTTTTAACAAGCAGCTCTCAGTTCTGTTTGACGGAAATAGAAAATAAGGAAGTTGCAAGGCCGTTTTGTAGGCATCTGTAAATTATTTCCCTCGATATTTTCATATGTTGGAAGCGAAATGTGGTAGAAATATGTACAGAGATGAATATAAGAAGCATTGTGAATGTCTCAGTACTAGCAGCACGGAAATGAATGCAGTAGTCACAATTCATTTGTTCATATGATTTTTTTGGTATGTTTGACCTAGATTAGCATAATGGCCAATGATTAATTCCAGTTATCCAAAAATAATTGCAAATTATTAATTGCAGAGAATAAAAACTAGATGGCGAATTAAAGCCAGCTATTGATACAAAAAAAAATATATAAGCACCACGATTTCGCCCCCCCCCTCCCCCCACTGTAAGTTCTCAATGCCAAATGCTCATGTAACCCAAATTTATATGTTATATAGGCCTTGTGTTATCAGTATTGCAGTTAGACAGACGAGCGAGTCTATGAATGCAAACACATGTAATACTTAATTACTATTATTCAATAATGTAACTGATTTTTATAAGAGAAAAGAAAAGTAAAATTCATTTGGATCAAAAGTGAGGATAAGTGCAAGTCATGCGAGAGAGCCCCTTCTTTAAACGATTTCGGACGCATTTCAAGCATTCCCTCGAGTTGTTTTTTCAAGCGTTGTTACATAACATTTCCATTGGTAACATTTGGCACTGCTAACATTGAGCCAGACAGTCCCTACGCAGATCTCATAGCTCAAGAAAGGGTCATGTTATTACTATTTATTTCAAGATACGCCAACTTTCATATATTTTACACTTCAACATGAAATAAAAGTAGCTTCGGCACAGTAAAATAACGCCAATAGTCGTTACCTTTAACTTCTGAGCAAACGTCCGCTGGGTCATATAGTTAGCGCTTTAATCAGGAAATCTGTGAAATCAAATCCAAAACGTTTTATTTGATTTGCATTATTTATGGGCCCCTTAACCAGTGAACCTTCGGGTAAACATAAATTTTGTTGTAATCTTTGGTCGTTATTTAGCTTCACGTTTTTTATTCTATGATGAACGTGTGTTTGCGCTCCTTTGTGACAAGAAAAAAAGACCAGTTAACGTCCTTTCAAAGTTGAACCCATCTATCTGCTGTTGCTTCGAGAAGTAAGCTTCGACCATAATATAGAAACAAATCTCCATTTTGTCACACATTACATAGAGCTAATGATGCACGAGTGGCTTGGACTTCATTCAATTTTAAGGAAAAGGCAAATTATTGTCTAGACATGGATGGTGATAAGATCGATCGTATTGCATTTTTTTCTTTCTTTTTTCATATTTCAAGTGCAATCTCTAAATGGTCTGTTTTACTTTTTACTCCGACAGACAACTAAGAGTTCAGTATGCATCGTCATCTTTACCATCTCTAAATTCAAATTAATACTTCAAAGGCTTGGAATAGAGTTCTTTCCGCCGAGACAGACTTATCTTAATCACAGAATTAGTTAACTGGAACCCGATCACGCTCCTCAATTTAATGTAATTGGAGTTTTGAAGATATTTGCGGTCCATTACCGTACGTATTAAGGCAACGTACTTTGATGACAGCACCCAAATTTTCCCTTTTCTCTTATTTAGTGAATGTATCGCGCTGTTTGAATATTGCATCGATACATTATCATACAGGAAACATGTTGTTACTGATAAGTGCGTAATATTGGTGTGAGGAATATGCAACAAACAGCAGTGAAAAAGCTGTGTTTTGTTATGGGAGTAATACCAGAATAATGTATGGCTAAAAGAAGAATATCTTGTTCATCATTTAATGTATTAGGACATTAGTGTATCATGTAAACATTAAGACTTAAAATTCGTTACTGCCAAAATTCTTGGCACAATTTAAATAAACCAAAAACTATTTGATCGTGAAACATTTATTCATGTTCATTCATACACGTAAGAATGCTCATTTATTGCTGCTGAAGTGAAACCAAACACTTTTGCAATGAAGAAAAATCCAAATAAGAAAGTGACTGTGTATTTAACTCACATTGCAACAAAATCTCACAAGCGTCTTGGTAATTGTAACGAGAATTATCATTGGGAACTGCTTCCCTGGTGCATATATTTCGACAATTTTGATTGGTTAGGCAAATGTCATAACCAGCTGACGTTTTATCAAACCGACTCGTCTGCCCTTTAAAACAATCAAGTACTGCTAAACGTCAATAGCATACTACCCGTTTTGTTGGTAATATATCTCCTTTAAATGTGCACTGGTGTGCTCACTATATCACAAAGAACCCCTGCATTGAAAATATAAATCAGAGAAAGTCCCATCGTTTCAGTGGTACTGAACATCCGGGTCCTTTGCATCAATATCTACACGATCAAGCATTAAACGAATATGTTAGTTTCTACATTGATTCCCCGTAATGTTTAAGATAACATCAATCGCAAAAATGAAAGAAAGACCTTTCAAGTTATCACAAACAATGAAGGCATTAATATACAATTTCAGTTTTGCACCCGCGAAGAACCTTCTCGTTATCTGTGTAAACTACAAATGAAGAACAAAGTTCACTATCTTTTGTACAGTGCTATTGTCCAACGATTCACATTGTATGCGGATACAGCCAATTAGGCGTACGCCACTGTACTATCGCTGGGTTCAAACTATGGATTTTGATAATGAAGATTTGATTACAGTACTTTACCAAACAAGGTTATATTCAGTTAACCATGAAATACGCCCGTGGTTTCTAACAAAAAGTAAACAAATGGATGCATATTTCCGGTAGGCCTAAATGTTCTTTTGTACAAGTGCAGAAGTCCAACTGTATTTCACATTATTGATATAAAAATCCACCATGCTGTACAAAGAACACCCATATTTGGAGGTTATTCTATTTCTTGTAGTTTCTCCTATTGTATGTTTTGTATAATATCATTTTCCAGTCTCTCTTGAAAAAAACCTGTTATACATCCCAAATCGAAGATACGCCTGGTTCCTTCACATTAAGATGTTTCTGCATCCTACGTTGTGATTTTTGGTCAACTTATAACTTTCTCCTCATTAGACCTAAAATAATAACAAACAGCTTTAAACGCACAGTAATGCCTGACATAGCGCTCAAAGGAAAACTGTTAAAACACTGTAGCAGCCTACTTGAACTTTTCAACTTGGTATTTATAACATGCAAGTAAAAAATTAAAGTAAAATTTACACAATACAATAGGTGGCGCTATGCAGTTACTCTATTCCATTCGAAATCAAAGATGGTTTTTGACATTCAATATACAACACAATACCGACAGAGTTAAAGAAAAGGTGAACCACAACATATATCTATCTCTTGCTAAATAAATATATCAATAAACTGTAAACTTACGTGTGCAGATGTTATTTCGTAGCTGCTTTCTCATTTCTTCTATATTGGGCGCGCTGCCGTCTTTCATCTTGTACATGTGCATTTGACGGGGCTCATCCGCCATGAACTGCATTTTGAAGTCGTCGATATTGGGACTCATGGCAACGACAAAAAGCTCGATGTTATTCTGCTTAGCCTTCATGATCTCGTCCATGGTTTTGTATGTAAGTTTGGCATCGTCGTCGACGACCAGGACGCCGATTTTCCTTGCACCGGCTCTGGCACCGTTTGCTGGATCGAAGTAGGATGTGCGCATGGTTTCAAGCATTGGCTGGACAACTTCGTCTCCTGTAAAAAAATCAATTGAGAACTCTTACAAAATGTCACAGTCACCAGAAATATGAACATCTTCAGCTCCTGTAAAAAAAATCAATTGAGGACTCTTACAAAATGTCACAGTCACCAGAAATATGAACATTTTATACTGCTCACATAAATTCCCCGAAATCCCCAATCTATGTCGTAGGCAACTTGATTACATTTCTTTAACATTTTTATTGAAAAAAAAAATTGCAGTGGACTGAATATTGGTCTACGGGTGGAATCAGAGAGAGAGAAAGAGAGAGAGAGAGAGAGAGAGAGATCTGAAACATGGAGACTTCTCGTGCCTGGGAGATTATGCAAATGCTCCGACATGGCGGCCTTATCCTTGTACGTGTTCAGGAAGAAGCCCATCTTTGCCAGGCACTTGTTGGAGACCACTGCAGCTTGAACCTTTCCACCTTCAATTGGCAGGTCCGAGATGACATCCTCAATGAATTTCACGGCCTTGTTCCCTTTCACACCACCGAAGTTCATGCTGTCAGACACGAATGCTATGTCACCCTCGTCCAGTTCTTCGCAGCAAGGGTCTTTTAAAAGACAAAGGGATACATGAAATAAATTTCACTTCTTAACACCGTGGTTCAACAAACAAACCAAATTCCTGCTAATAATTATTTTTGTTTAATTATTTTTCCAAAGAGAATTTTAGTAAAAATTCAGCAATTCATCACGAAACACTGCAACTGACTGATTATGCAATAATAATAATATAATAATAATAAACGCATGCAAGGGCGGGTATCATCCACTTACCTTCCACTGGTGTTGCTGAAAATTGAAAGGATAGAATTATTACTTAATGTCAGTAATTCGTATAAATGTACTAAAACAGCAAGACTAAATATTTAACTGTTAACCAATACCAAGTGTAGGACAATAGAGCTATTTAGAAGAAAGGAGATTAAAACGCACCAGCAGCTAATATTTTACTTGGCACAATAATAATATATGTAATTAAGTAAAGGTTATTTTACACCTGTCTTAAAAATGAATATGCAGAAAAGTACAGGTGTTTAGCCAATGTGTCAGCTGTATGCTGTGCAATTTTAAGCCAAATGCATCGTGTTCAGTTGGTTCATGTGGCATTATACAATACATGTGCACTGTCAATGTGAAGGTCTTGGAACTGTTATTGGAAAGTGTTTCAAGTTTAGCGTGCAAATCTCAATAGTGACAGACGCTATCTTTTTGATACTCCACACGTGCACGTATTTCCCCAAATTGTCAACGGGTCTCCTAAGTGCAATAACGTAATTAGCCGGCGATACTCTCAATTTCCACCAACAATATAACATGAAGAGCAATTGCACAACTTTGCAAAACAGGGCAGAGCAAAATATTCTTAAACACAACCGCTATTACAGTCCTAACAACGACGTCCACTAAATGTCAATAATGGAGACAATAGCAAAACGCTTAGCCGATTCAGCTGATATCATATCCAAATCATATGTATAACTAAGATTTACGCAGAACAAGCTGAACTACATAATTCAGTCGACAATAAGGCAATAAATATTCACTTCCTTAAGCACATTGAGAAACTTACGGCATTTCCCTGCATCACATGGCTGTGTATCGCTGTCAGACCCTGGGCAGTCAACACCGGCAACACCACCAATGCAGGGGCGTGTTCTGGTATATGTTCCTATGCCACAGTCCACAGAACACTTTCCAAATGGACCGAATGGCCCCCAAGCCGCTTTAATGGGTGAAAGATTACTTGTTTAATGGATATTCCCCTAAGATACTGCGCAATCGTTTAAGAATTGCCAAATATTCTGCATACTTTAAATTAACTGTTCGACTTTTAAGTACACATAATTTGAAGAAAGTGTCAACAATTATTATTACTGTGAGAAGCAAGTTTAAACCCCGAATGTACAGTATAATAAATTGCACCAGATTGATACATATAGTAACATATAAATTATCCACAAACGCTTTAAACATCCTAATAATAATAAAATAGGACAAAGTTGAGCCAAAGAAACACTAAAAATAATTTAACAATGCATTATCACCACGACTACTCGATATGGAAAATTTTGTACTGTTAGAATTAGTAAAGTATGTGTGTGATGCGGTGCACACTCAGTGCCACAAGGAGAGCAAGATTGCGCTAGGGTGTTCCCTGTGTCTCACCTAACACATTCCATGAAATCACATATCCTACTATGTACCTACGGATTCTGAGCCTTTTCAGTCCAATTATACAAACTTCATACACAAAAAAAGTATGTCTAAAGGACAGCCTACTTTATCTCATCATGAGACGAACAATAATACAACAGATTAACAGAGTTGATCTTATCTGAAAAATAATCATAATATCCGCCTTAATTGTCCCAGGTGATATATAATTCGGTCGCTTCTAACAGAAGTAACACACTTCTGGCTGACCATTCACCAAAATGAGATATCCCCAAATACAACAATTATACAATAAAAATATACAACGACAACAGAGATTGAAACCTACGGCATGGCTTTTCATTGCAGCGTTCAGTCATCTTTTCGGGTCCCGGGCAGTCCACCCCGGGGACCCCAGTGATACAGGACCTACTCCTTGACCTCTCCCCACCTCCACACGTCACCGAACACTCGCCGTATCGACCCCAGGCCGTCCATTGCGCTGAAATCACATTGAGCACGCGGTTATATGGGACTCCTTATGAAAAATACAGTAGCACTGTTGATCTGTCAAAAACTAGATATCATACAACCCATGCCAACATTCATCCGGTCTAAACTATCTGAAACAAGCCTTTGCTATTTAGAACCATATTAAACTTGCCATTATCATCACGACCTGAAACAAGATTGAAAAATACAATATTGGATGGTAACGTGTTACGGGTAAACTGCCAAGACACGTGGTCATAGATGTGCCCAGTATTTGTTTTGGAGTATTTATGTCCAAGCAATATTTATGTGCACACACAATTGTCAGTTGGATACAGGCTATGGTCATTTTATATGCATTACTTTGATTAAGTTTTCAAAATCAATTTTAACTTGTCAATATAATATATATCTTTTAATCAAAACCTATCTCTCCTAATCAGAAACAGTATCGAAATACTGTTTAAGGTGCTACTTTGTATTCTAAAGTCAACGCACACAGAGAGCCATCAGCTGAACTGTCCTCTTTACACATTTCAGGCAGTGACAACAGAGTGCACGTCGCCTAGACATACAAGTAAGTTTTGTTCCCCTTAGATCTACACGTCTTAAGAGCACACCACATTTTCAGAGCACACAAAAAACTGCGGTATGAACAATTAGTCTCAAGAGACTAGTAGCTCAGTGCGTAGCTTCAAGTGTGCGTTGGCTAGAAGGGTGTTCATCGAGTCCACTTACGGCATGCTCGAGTATTACAATCGGCAGAGTCCGTTTCGGGCCCGGGACAGTCTACTCCTGCCACGCCCCCTATACACACTCTTGTACGTGTCTTAACCCCGCCTCCACAGGTACGAGAGCAGGCCTCATAGAGAGTCCAAGGGCTCCAATAGGCTGTAATCAAAATGTGTAAAGAAACAGGGTGATTACAAAATGGAGCCGATGGCTTTTGGAGACAATTAATTGTACGCTTGATCCGACTGGCGGTATATATAGCAATCAAAGAACAAGCTGCCAAATAATTACAAAACGTCCAAATAACACCAATATAGGCTACAGTAGGCTACGTAAAATGTTTAAATTGATGTATTTAATATAATTACACGATAAAGCAATGCGGTCACGAAAAATCCTTTTTGTAGAATCGATCAGACATGCAGTTGTGCCAGATGTGGTTAAACAAAATAAATATGTGTTCTCAATCCCGAACAGTGATCTCTACTCAAGCTGAGGCTTTGTCTTGGTGTCCAGTAAGCAACATATACGAATCTACTGAAGCCCTGAGGTCTATTTTTGTTGTCTCGCATTTTGTAAAAAATATTCCGGGCATGCTTTAATTGACTTTGGGTTGTTTTCTATTTGTTACAGAGAGGCACCAATTGGAGGGATTCTATAAGATCGTGTTAATGGATGTTCCGGTTAATACCATTAAGTTTCGGTTAATACCATAAAAAGAAAACCATTCCAATAGTTGGTAGAAAAGTGGAACATTCTCATACCAGACTGCAAGAAAAATGGGCTAACGAAGAAACGAGCGTTCATTAGGTGAGGTTTAGATATGATTATGACTCATCCGCCAAATGAAAATGAATACTGTTATATAAAGATGAGGAAACGGAAAAATAATGGGCTATGAATTTCACAGTTGCACGACAAAGTGATTGATGCGTACTTAGTATCGCAACACATAGATTGATTCATTTTACAAAGAAACTGAAAGCTTCTTGCTGTACTACACGTAATGCAGTGATTTGCAGCAAGTTACTTTCCAATTCTATTTTCAGCAGCATTTTGTGTCATTCAAAGCCGGCAACATAACTCTGAGCCACGTGTAAGCAAATGCCTTACATTTTCATTCGTGCTTTATCGAAAGTGTAAATAACACACAAGCGTGTATACTGTGAAAGGAATTATCAATACACATTTGATGTTTCAAAAAAGTAATAATGCAAAAGAGTTAGTGAAGACGAATCAATATTTACGGTTTAAATTTCTGCCCATCATTTGAAGTTTTGGTCTGAGATAGATAGATAGAGAGAATGGCCTAGATAGAGAGAAAAAGTTGCCGGATTTGAATTAATATTCAATTTTGTTTCATAATCTGTCTAGCTATCTATCTGCGAAATACTGTCTGCACAAAAGAAGCTCGATTCACGGCTTGGTGCACCTCATGTGCATCTCCAAAGGCTGGGCAAAAATCTCTCTCTCTGCAAGAGATGAGAAAGGTGGCTATTATTAGTGCGTGATACAGTTCCCACAACAAGCACCCGACAAAGCCGCGGAGAGGTCCAGCAGAAGTGACGTGGTTACCACCAAACATCAGACCAAGTTCTACCAACGTGCTTCATGCAGTCAGTTTCTGAAAGCAAAGAAAAGAAAATGATATCACTTACGACACTGCTCCTCATTACATGCTACGGATTCGGTGGCGGGGCCAAGGCAGTCGACTCCAGGGACCCCGCCTCCTTGGCATGCTCTGAAACGGTTCTTTAAACCGCCCCCACAGGTTGCCGAGCACGTGCTGTAAGGACTCCATTCTCCCCAGGAAGCTAAAGCGAGTAAATTACCATTTTACCGCTTCGTTTCGGCTATTCAGAAGGGGTTTCGCGATAAAAGAAGTTTTACTAGGACTTATTACTTGAAATAGGGCTGATGGTGGGAAGGACATTTTCAGTAAAATGTTAGAAAATATTTGATAAGTTAATTTTTAAACTTGAAGGACTAAATCTGGCGTGCTCTCTCCCCCTTGTCCACTTAAATGTAAACAACTTGTGAAATCAGACGGATCAAATTGATTTAAATTTTACTCCGCTTTTACTTTCAATGAAAGGCGTTGATGAATCTATTTGGGAAACATTTACTCACGACAATCGTTACTGTTACAAGGGCGCTTGTCAACCGTGGAACCAATGCAGTCTTGCCCCGGTTCCCCATTTTCACAGCTGCGATATCTTCGCTGCTCTCCACCCCCGCATGTTTTACTACAGGCGCCCCATTTTCCCCACAGACCCCAAGCCGCTGTATAGATAAACCAGCATGAGAAGCAGTGATTGAGAAAAGGAGAGACAAGGGCAATAACGTTAAGTCCAAACAGTGTTTTATGAAAACAAACTGATTCAGAAATACTACTTAATTATTTGGTTAAGTAAACGTGAACTGATTTGATTTGTCAAATGTCTTTCGTTCGTCAGCACGGTACCTTTAAAATGCTTTAGACTGAGAAACAGGTGATTTTTACTTCGTTCCTGAGGAATTATCACACAAACGCAATGAAATCGATGTAATGTTTTCCTTCACGTTGTTCATGCAGTTTAAAAAATGTCCTTTTAGTAGAGATCACTTACGGCACGATTTGAGAACACATAATTTGGTTTTTTCGCCACTTCCAGCACAATCCACTCCAGGACTGCCTCCGACACATTCACGGACTTGGAGCAGGATTCCTGCCCCACAGGTCACGGAGCATTCGGTATCTTTCCACTCACCCCAAAATGCTAGAGTAAATGAGCTGTATATACTAGTAAAGAGTCACACGTAAACGATTACATAAACAGTGAAGTATAGAGCATGGTGCAATTGTCACATAGTTTTGCCGCTATAAGGAAAAGGCACCATAGAAGTCAATACATATGTCCCACAATGTACTGTGTCGCCATAAAGCAATTTCCCACATACAATGAATTAGAAAAAAATCAGATATTTACAAGGAAGATGCAGTCATAAAGTAAACAATAGCATTTTAAAAGTGGCATGGTATACAATAATCGGAGGCTCTCAAAAAAAAGTGATTTTTGCAATTCAAGTGTGCTTGTTTAGTGAAATCGAATTAGTCGTTGAGTTATTTAACATGCGGTTGTTTGCCCCCTGATTATAATCCTACTACATACGTGGATAAAGGTTATCTATATACATATAACCTTAAATAGAAGATATCCCATACGAATATTCCCAATACCAAGGCATGCTCTTCATTCTATTTTGGAGGAATTAACTTAAAACTATCTACATTTTGTTCTAAAGTAATACCTTGGTATTCCTTAGAGTGTCGGAATAATACATGTAGCATCCTTTTAAAAATCACATTAATGAACCGGTCTTAAAATGTTTCCCAGAGGGACATGTAGTTTCAACATAAGGAATTGTCTTTCCCTTGTATGTTTTGGCATAAGCTAGAAATCCTTACTGCAGTGCCCACAAAGACTTGTCCATATGAAATGTAATTTGACCACGTATCTATAGCAGATTTTTTTCTGTTTGAAAAGCAAAACTAGTATTGATCTATGACGCATCACTTATAACATTAAAATCAGGATCACAAAGAATAAAAACGTAATAAATATCATTAAATGATTAATCTGCCTCCTCGTCTACACCACAATCATTCTAATACCTTTCCGAGGCGGCGCCGGAGAACAATCGCGTATTTTACATATAGGCGTTTCCAGTGCCTTTCCTGGGCAGTCAATGCCAGGACGCCCGCCTTTGCACGTGCGAGCCCTCATCCTTGACCCAGTTCCGCAAGTGACTGAACATGCGCTGAAACTTCCCCATTCCGTCCATGCAGCTGAGGGTGGAAAGGCAAGTTAGGGAGTGCAAAGAGGGAAGAGAAGGTGCATTTATGGTAAATAACAGTGCGTTTCACACATATTTGGCATTAAATATGGAGTTTTTTATTTCTTTTTAAAATAGTCTCTATTATTATTTCTGATCGAAATATTTTTTTCATCTTGTTAACTTTTTATGCCTAGTGCGAGACAAGGTTAAAATTTTGATTTCATGAATATATCCTACATCCAATATTAAGTGCCAATCATGTTGTAAGATGAAAACAAAAGGTTATGGTGAAACATTGCAAAGGAAGATGCAATTGTGCAAATGGTTAACAAAACATACTAATAATGAATTCAGTTAAGTAAAAGAAAGATGTGTGCATGATTACTACAAATGTGCAGAAGTTGAAATAACACTGAAGATAAAGACGGTGAGTTATCGTACATTTGAATTAATAAAAAAGACAGATATCAATGTAAATATTAGAGACGTGGTTATGACAAGTCACACTAATATTTAACTTAAAAAAAACTCAAAAGTTCCATAAACAAGAGTTGACAACAAAGAAAAGCAAGGGAAAATAAGTGCATATTGGAAGTGGTGCAAAAAAAAAAAAAAAAACAAAGAAAAAAACAAAACAAAATGAGAACTAGCAACTGGGCAGTATGTAGTCAAACATTTGCGATTCTTTGAATGGCGTTCTTCATCTGGCTGTTTACTACAATAGGCGTAAAGCGGGTACCGGTAGCTCATGCATTATCTGAAGCAACTGCTTCGTTGAGATAACGTCAATTCAATTTTTTGCTATCAAATCATATGCATATAAAAACTCTACAAGGTTCTCTCTTCTACTCTAGCTATAGCCTATTACCAATTCCTTGCAATTCCTTAAAGACAAGCCATCTTATCACATGACGTTAGGAGGCACATCAATGCTTAGACAAAAAAAATTACATAAGACTTGTATAATCACTCTCATATAGCCAATCGCCAATAGTCAATCATCCATTAAACAGCCCAGAAAATAACTTCTCAAACAAAAGCCATATTTCTCATATTTATATGTGACGCAAAAAGCATTTTCGCTCCATTCCACTTAGCCAGTACGTGACTAAAACATCATTCTTGCAGCAAAAGTTTAAAGGCAAATATGGAACAACACAACATATCCTTCTAATAGCTCATTTAAGTTATTCCTAGAGCGGCTTTCACTTCGTTGTTCCTCTACAAGCCATGAGTTTTTCTAGCTTATTACGGAACATTTCTTTAAAGACAGAAATTCCTACAGGCATACGACACAATCTAGGTCTGCTAAACTTATCGCATGGTGTTTTTTTCATCTAGCAAGCGTATCTCTGGACTACCGACGCCGACAACTCCCTACCTGGTGCCTTGCACGAGGCCAGAACACACTCTCTGCTGTCCACTTCACTCCCTGGACAGTCCACTCCGGCCACTCCCCTCTCACAAGTACGTGACCTCGACTGGACACCCGTGCCACAGGTCACTGAGCAATCGCCATACCCTGACCACTGCGTCCATGCAGCTTATAAGGAAATGGTAGAGTGCGGTATGGTGCGATAATGTTAGCAAAAAGAAACATAAGAATCTGTGGTCCGGGCTGCGAAGTTCGGTTAAATATCGAAAAGAAAGTGGGTTGGTAAAAAGAAAAAAGATAAAGAAATTAAACTAATAACGATTGTACCATCTCAAAAATAAATAAATAAATAAATAAATAATAATAATAATAATAATAATAATAATGATTAATGCACAAAAAATAATTTAGCAAATAAAGTATTTTTAAATAGCAAATACAGTATTCTTTAAAGACAATGAACCAGCCTGGACCACAAGGAAAATACAATTTGAACACAAAAATAAAGAAGAAATATAGGGCAACAGGGCGGTGCTTAAAACAAAGATTGCAAGTGTTCGTTAAGTATGCAAGAATAAGAACTGAAACAGGTGCGAAATATAAAAAGTAACAGTTAAAATAGAAGTAAATAAAAATACAATGGAAACTGAAAAATAGCTAAAAACAAAATTAAATGAAAGTGCATTTAATTAGATACTGGCATTTAGAGAGTAGAGCGACAGAATTGTAAAAAAGTGTTGGATTAAATTTTAATACAAAATGACGCACTTGGAAGATCTTGAAATGAGAGATATTAGCTACATGTATTTAAGTATTACACGAGGAAATTTGAAACAACCATGCGTTATAGATAATACGAAAGCAAGCAAACATGTAAGAACGTAACTGCACTGTCACGTTGACACCGGAGGCCAGTCCCACAAAATAACTGTAGTTGAAAATTGGTTTTAACTTTAAGAAAATTTCCATCCAAAATAACAATTTGGTGGTTCAAAAATAAAATAAAATATCGGATTAATAATAACATTTTCTTTTGTAATAACATCGTTATCTCAGTATTCATTTTGGACCAAAGAACTGTCGAACTTAAAGTTACGACCAATTTGCAACTTTTAAGTTAAAACTACATTTGTAAAACCATTCCCTACATGGTATGAAGCGAGAGGTCAGAGACCGTCTGGTGTTTTCTAGCTTTGCTACTCGCGATCAACTTCTTTGGTCTATGCATAAACCCAGTCTATTTGGATTTCTTAATTGGATGCGAAGTAGAACATTCACGCTATATCTATTTTGGATTCCGTGTACCGTTCAGGCACCAGTTCTACCTTAAAGTGATTCCGTAATGCATATGGGTCAGACATAAAAAATGCCCCTGGTGCCGTAATGCTGGCAATTTAGCTAAGCTGTCCTGGCCTACCCACTACATAGCCATATCAATGAAATCCTTTTCCATACTTGAATATTCGTTGGACTTTATTTCATGCAGACTGACAAAATCCCCTCTAAGAGTAACACCTACCCTTGCGCTAATGGAACTACCCATGCAACTTCTTAATCTAATATGTATAATAAAATCATGGCATCGGTAGTGAATTTCTAAATGCACAGATACCGATTTTACTTCTGGGTTACAAACTAGCACATGCTTTCTATGCAGGCCCGTTGCTGTCATCGCCAAACATCCCAAAAGCTGCTTCCAGATTGGATGGAAGAAAACCATGTGTTACCTTCATTGCCTAAATCAAACCTACCTGGAACTTTTTTTTACGTACATGCGCCTAAAATACTCTACAAAGCCTGGCATCAACTCTGACTTTTAATATTTTTGTTACCTGGAACCCTACAGGACCCGAGGTTACACGGCCTGCTTTCTCTCTCACTCCCAGGACAATCTACCCCAGGTACTCCCTCCTCACATCTTCTTGATCGAACCTGCGTCCCTGACCCGCAGGTCACTGAGCATGCGCCGTAAGGAGTCCAGGCGGTCCATGCGGCTGCGGGGGTAAAAGGTGGGTGATATGAACAGAAGTGTGGCCACAGTTCTCTCAGCATACGTACTTAACTGTGGGTGTGGTGTGGGTGCTGATGTGCAATATAACGTGTTTCCCGTGTATTACATTGTTGTGTATTACATTATTAAAGACTGTGCATGATAAAAAAGTGGAATTATCAAAACAGACGTGTGGTAAGTTAACTTTAGTCAATATTGAAAAGTTAAAAGTTGTGCAAATAGTTATTTAATTAAAGACAGATGTGCTTAACTTATTATTCTGCCATTACAGAAAACGTTGGTATTACAAAGAGGTGTAGTGTATATATGACTACAATCAGAGCTGATTTGAAAGAAAGTGATACTTACAAAACACACCAAACGTTCAGGTGATAATATGTATAAATGCAAATTATTTGAAATATGAAAAATATTTATGCATACGAGGAGGTTAGTTGAAATATATTAGTAATTCACTATCTGCTGAAGATCTATATATTTTACGTAAATAGTACAGCATTTTGACAATGTGACCAATGATATTTTCGTTGAACGTTTTCATTTAGAACAAAATATGTCCTTCAAACGATGTTCACTCATATCCTTTCATCCGACACATAAAAACGAGCTTTTTTATCCCATATCACGCCTACCAGCTCACTAAACCCCGGTTCCTGCGACAAATGCTTCACACAGACTTACGGCATGCCCCTTCATTACAGGATCTTACATCTGTCTGTCGTATACTGCACTGAACGTTATTTTCAATGTCCTCACAAACTCGTGTCCGGGACTGAGTTCCGTTTCCGCATGTCACTGAGCAAGATCGCAAAGAACTCCATTCCCCCCATATATCTGAAACAAACGCATTGATTGCTACAAACGAGTGACATACCAGTATATTTGGTCTTCTAATTGCACTGCTGAAGATATACTACTTCTACCACAACAAAATAAATACTGCTACAGACATATATTAATGATGTTGATAGCTTTTTATTTACAACGGTGGCAAATAGAAGGACTAACATTATTAGAGCGCTTTTACCTCGTTGACTAAAAGTTGAATGGGTGGTTAGCTTTACTTACTACATTGTTGCGTGTTACACGGTGATTGGTCACTTAAATTGCTTTCAACAGCTGGGGTGATACACGTCCCATCTGAAGAAATTCCATCTGGGCACAGTGGCCCCATGCCAACTCGAAGGTCTTCTGCGTGTATTTCTGTAAATTAAACCACAATTTTCGTTTTCATAAACGGCACTTTAGTCACATGTTTTGGGAAGTGATCAGCGTCAAATAAGTGCTAGTATATTTCCAGAAAAGTTGAAACTTTCAGTTGTTTCAAACTGCAAAAACCAGGAATTTAAATCTACCTTTACAATGCACAGTGTGCTGTCCCCTTTGTAGATAAGAGTAATGATATATTTCATATTATATATGACCACTGTAAGGTAGATTTTTGTTTGATTTGTTGGTAAGGTCATATCCTTAGTGGAGACATAAGGGCTACAACATTCTGTACATGATTGTCTAATGCCAAATGTTTTGAATTTACTACAAGAGGTTTCCTTTAAAATCCAATTTGAACTGAATTAGATTGAAAATATTTTGTAGTGTTCACAGCCTTGATCTCCAGACTTATCTCTAAGCAATTAAGTATAAACTGTGTAGCTGCCAAAGTCATTTGCTTTCAGTAATAGATACCAACCGCAAGACCCCGCTTGACACGACTTTTGCTGCCTATCTTCTCCTCGGCAGTCAGAACCAATTCTGCCGTAGACGCACTTCCTTTTCCGAACCTTCAGGCCCTTTCCGCACGACACCGAGCATGAGCTATATTCACCCCATTGGCTCCAAGTTGCTAAAAGAACACCAGTAAATAGTTAGGGCTGTTTCACCATGGCGTGCACTCTTCCATGAAAATGGTTTTGATAATTCTGATATCGAAATAATAATAATAAAAAAAAACAATATCGCCAGTGCAGTCGCTTAACTCGTTTTCAAGACGTTCACGTTTTTTTATTATTTTTAGGTGTACTTGAGATTACAGACAATGCACTTGAGATCATAGTAGCTGTGCTTGTGATTGTAATCGACCTAAAGTGGATACAAATTGTGCTGGAATCGATAGTCAAGTTGAAAACCATTGTGCTATGTAGTAACATTGATAGCCAATGCAGATATTGTGCTTAATCAGGTTTTCACTATATAGGTCGAAAGCCACTTTACTTACCACATGGCCTTTGATTACATTCGATATATTCAGTTGCATCTCCTCGGCAGCTATAACCTGCTTCTCCTCCAATACATGTCCGAACACGGCTCCTCTCTCCATTGCCACATGTCACTGAGCATTGACTAAAATGACTCCACTGGGTCCACTCAGCTAGAAAACAAATTAAAAATTCGTGTTTTTTTTTTTTTTTTTTTTTTTTTGCAAAGTGTGAAAACTGCAACCACCAAGTTACTGCGCTGGATAAAACAGCGTGCGCCATCCACTACACACACTTCTAAATGGGTTGAAGTGTCTCAACGACGTCCGTTCAGTTGAAAAAAATTCTGCGCTACCATTATGCAACAGTTTTGATGTATGATTTTATTGATACTTGCTACAACGTTTTAGTTGATGTTGTAAGTCAATGAATGAAAACGCTGAGAAAGCAGTTGCCTATTTTCACAACACATTTTGCAATACATTTGCTGTTGTTTTCAAATGATAATGTAGGCAATGTAAATTAGATTTCCCTAAGAGTTTTCAAATGAACATTCGACATTGACATCCTTAATTTTTACAATTGCGTAAAAGTATAATTGTTCTTAGAATAATTTTTCTGATATATATGCTTATATCTAGCCAACTCTCGACTTAAAACTGTCAAACTGTCACAAATGCTGTATCAGGACATATCGAAAATCATTCACTTTTTGAGCACCCATGACATACATTGCACGACTACAAAATCAAAAAGATGCTTATTGCGGAGAACCATATCTTCATAATCACCAACAAAGACATATCGTTGTACACTTACGACAAGACTGCCTCTTGCACGGTCTTGCTCTCCTGTCTGGCCCGCGGCAGTCCTGGGGGGAGGACCCACCAATACATTTACGTGTACCCAGGGCTTCTCCCCGTCCACAGGTGACTGAGCAACTTCCATACGGCCCCCAGCCACTCCATACGGCTGAAACAGTCCGAAGTTCGTGTTAGAAAAATATTTGAATTATATTTTATTAATTCTTAGAGGGACAAAATAAATTAAGTTCTATATTCAAAAGTTACACTTCTACCAACTCACATAAAAATTCACACTATTTAATTTTATATAATAAAACAGTAAAACGGGCGGTCGCAGGAGTATGGTTCAGTACACTATCATTAAAGTAACCAAATGGTTTTCGTTTCGATGCCAACGTCTTTTCAGTGGGATGAACTTTAAATTGTTCAGTACCATTATCCAAGATCGGCAACAGATTAACGTTAAGTGCTATTCTAATGCTTAGAATAATCCTTTGGTGGTTTTATAATTGCGCACTTATTCCATTCAGTTAAACAAACGGGCAATTTAGTTAATCAATTTAGATTTGTTTTCTTTTGTCATTTGGTACCAGCAGTTGATGATTTAATCACTTTCCTGTTATAGAAAGTTGAAATACATTTAAAGAATAAAATAACTTTATATGTTTTTCTGGCACGTCTGTATGGTTCACTGATTTGGTTAAAAGTTTATTGGTTTTGTCATAACAAATTACTATGGCCACGGGGGCCATGCCAACTTGGTTCAACAATCTTTGCCGTCGCTCCTGCATTACATAACATACGGTGTGTGACACAATGCCTGAGTCTTCCAAATGTGCGGGTGAGAAGAATTTCAATTCCAGAATATGAACACACAGCTTTGCGACTTTGGGTTACTATGATTTTACCATATTTTTGCATAATCATTATGGTAAAGAATAATGTTGGCATCGTTTTTTCGTTGCGCTTGCGGTAAATACCATAATAGTACAGCAGTGCTGTTTCAAATTCATTTCACTTTCTCTTAATAGCATCTTCAAGATGTGTTGAATTAAGCGTGTGCTCGCTTCAAATTGCTCATCAAAGGCACTGTCCTATATCATTGCCCAGGAGAAGCAACTGAATCGAGACCACGTGACAGTCTTCTCTGCCGCCGTGTGACGTCAAACTGGACAATATTCCACAGTTCTTGAAAATCATAAACACAATGGCCAAAGATAAAACAAGCAAATGAAACTCTGCAACCAAGGCATGTTAAACGAATAATTTGATATATATATATATATATATATATATATATATATATATATATATATATAGCTCTAGACCCCATATTCAGTCTTAGACTTCAAATGGGCAAACATACAAATTCCGGTTTCTCTAAATGTAACTCCCACTCAACAATGGTGGCTACATGCTGCAAACTTATACGGTTTTCTCCGATATCGTGCCAACCATTGAATCGTTATAAAAGTTACATTATTCATATATGTCAGTTTTCTGGCTTCTTCCTCGCCCTCTCGGTAATACTTGTAGAGTTGCGTTTTCCATTTAACGTTTTGCTGATAAGCAAACATTTACTTCTCTGAAACAATTATAGGTGTCGCTTATGTTTTACAAGTATCTATAACCTTCATTAATGCTTTGTCTTGAGTAACCTTCACATGTACATGTATATATCGGTAATTACTCTCTACTACATTATATTTTCTCGAGAACCGGGCTCAATTTCTGATCAGTATTTCCCGCATCTTGCTTAATACTGAATTGCACGCACTAATCTTCAACTTAAGTTGGGCGTTGGCTAAATAATCCATGAATGCAGATATAATTTACTTACCAGTGGGTTGAAATGATTTCCACGCAGCCACTAAAGAAAACGCCAAAAAATGAAGGCTGGTGATATATACGTGTCCTATCATTTTGAGTGCTTATGACAGAAGTGAGCATCTTCCACAAGCAAGCGGTATCTTTCTTGCTGCGTCAGTCGTTTTGAATACGAAGACAAAACGCTATTGGGAACATTCTAGACTTAGTATCTTACAGAGACTTAGTCATCATCATATTCAGTAAAGCAAACTACTTTTTTTGTTACTGTATTGCTTTTATCAGTGTCATCTCCATTTTTCTCTGATTGGGATCATGTCTTTAAAGGAAGGGAATATCCTGTAGCGACCCTTGATAGATTGTACGACAAGGAAATGGACGCTTTTGCTAAAGCCACGTGAAACATTGTAGCATATAAGACTGCGATTAAACTCAAGCCCTGGCGGCTTTCCTTGGTATATGCTTCCTCCATAGACCGTGTGGTTATGATTCTTTAACTTTTTTGAAAGCTAACCCCAAGGCACGTAACTCATGTAGATTACAATGGCAAGGGGTGGGACAATGCTGGGGATAGAAATATTTACCGTGGTTAGTAAATTTGGCCTGTTGAATTGGTGTACATATCAGAGCAATAATAGCTGTCACGGTTTGACTCTATTTACTGTTTTAGATATTTAAAACAAATATTCTGCCACCAGGATGCCTCAGGGTTTGAATTCAACATAAAGACAAATTCGTATTTTTTTATATCGTTCGGTACGACTGACTTACCACATATTTTCTCGTTGCATTTCTGTTCGTCCCAGCTTGGCCCAGTGCAGTTAATCCCTGCTATTCCGCCATGACAGTCACGTCGTCTGGCTCTCACACCGTCCCCGCACGTGGCAGAGCAAGAGCCAAACTGACTCCACTGCGTCCACCAAGCTAGATAGTAGAAAAACAGTTTTTATGTAACAAAAACGTTAAAACTTTCGACGTATTCTGAATTATCGAGCACATCCTTTTTGGAGCAGTGTCTAATGAAAGCAATATTCTTTTGAAATTTAATTAATTTGGAAATGTACTTTATGTGGAGAAATTTGAGATCGATGTTTTGGGTTAAATCAAACATACATCAGTTGTAGCATCTTCGTGTCAATGGATAGGCCTATTTAAAAAAGAAATTAATTCTGCGAATTTTGCGATCAATGTTTTGGGTCAATTCAAAAATTCATTAGAAGTATCATCGTGTCAATAAGTTATTAAAAAACGTTTTATTTACCTGTTTCGCACAAACGCTTGCTACAATTTCCGACCTCTATCGAGTCCCCGAGACAGTCGGTCGATGGGACTCCGTTACGACAGTCACGTGACCTTGTCGTCTGCCCTGTATCGCACGTGACCGAACATTCCGTCCATTCAGACCAGGCGGTCCATGAGGCCAATACTAAAAACAGAGTCACGGTTCTTTAGCTTATAAGTGAAAGTAGTATTGCTGTGCATTTTAGAAATCTTCAGATCAATAGAGATGTAAGGTTAAATTCACATATCAGCATCATTGTTGTTTTTAATTACATTTTTTAAAACTAAATGTAATACCTTTGTTCCGTATTGTATCAACCGGAGTGTCGCTGAGTTGCAAATAATCGACAGAGACTCTTTCCTGTTCCTTTGATATATTTGATTTCGATCCTAAAATTATACAGTTGAACATATAATGAGTCTCCGTTTCTGCAAACATATTTGTTCTTTATCTTTTAACTTTTTCAATTGTACAACATACATATTTTCGCATTCTTTGAGACTGTTCCATACGACTAGCAAAGTCAAGCTACATGTACTTTACGCAAGTAATATTGTAAATATCGAGTCCTCCAAACAGGATGTTACGCTACGCAAATGTTGCGTCAGTTAAATTTAATAAAACTTCAAAAAGTCTCATTTCTTACCGTTCATTCCAGTATTATCCAATACAGATGATAGCTGTTAGGTCGCACGGTTAGCAAATGCCCCAAAGAAAACTGTTATCAAACTCCGGTTACTGGGTTGCGGACAGTTATGGATTAGGAGGTCCTGCAAATCTGGAACACCTCGAAAACTGGTTTCTTCAAGCCACGAAACTCAAAAGAACACAATGATAACCCTAAAAACCCGCAGACGACCACACCCAAAAGCACCCAAGATAAACGAATTAGAATCGCATCAACCCCGTCAGCACACAACATAACGCAGTCAACACTCACAGTTAAATCGGACACGCACCTTGCGTTCAATTTGGAAGAACAAAATTTAACATCATGAAAAATGGTCACAAAGTCAAAAAAAGATCGACATGTTTTGTAAGGTAAAGATATTTTTGCTGGTCATGCAGAATTATATTGTTTTGTTACAAGAAAGATTAATACTGAAGTATAAAGCAAAGTTATATAAGTATTCTACCTTATGCAGCACTGAGTTTTAATTCAGCAGTCAATTTTCCATTATAGGCCTACTTGCAGGATCGAGTGTAAGCAGGATGAATATTACAGTATTGAACTACACGCTGACAGTAAGCAATACTTCAATAATTGCATTTCAAATGATTAAATGGTTAGACCAACATGCATTATAATTAACGAAGAAAGTTCGTTTTCCAATGGATGCATATCATAACGGTTATCCCAATGAAAAGTCAAAATGCTAACAAATAGGATGTACGGTGCTTCAAATGTGCAATTCAAACAATGCGACCTATCCCCATGCCTTCCCTCGCTGCAAGGTGGCGCACACGTGAGGTGAAGTACTGTATACTTACGGCACGGTCTCTCGTTACAAAAAGTAGCTTGATAAAGTGCCCCGTCTTCAGGCGTGCATTCCAAGAGGAGACAAGGTCTTGCTCTTTCTCTTTTGCCTCCGCCACATGTCTGACTACACGGTCCCCATTCCCCCCAGGGCCCAAACGGCTCTGTCAAGATTGAACAAGGGAAAAATGTGCACAGTCATGCAATTTACAGTGCCCTAAGTTTATCTCTGATCACCGTTTAAAACTAAGAACATCTGTTATTGTGACATAGGGGGCCAGTGTGTGTGTGTGATCCATGCAAACGGTTAACATTATAACGTAAATACCCGCAGTGAATGTTATTTTATTTCACTTTCAGGTTTCTTTAACTTCCGTTAATTAGTTAAAAGAATCGGTGGGGAAGCAGTGAAGCATGAATAAACTGATTAAAGGGGAAAATTCACCTTTCTTATCGTGACTGAACTCTTTCCGCAAACACAGAACATAATTCAACAGTTAAAGCAGTAGCAATGTAGTTAAAGATTGGTGGGTGTGTTGGCAGCACATTCTGGAGAATTCGTTGCCCGCAAATCTTCGTATTACCCCATGCGTCAGTACGGAATAACTTTCAAACTTCAGCTCCAGAATCTGACAAACGAATTTTCGAGAATGTCACCTTAGTGCTATATGTACGTTATCGCCACCTAGCGGTTATGAGTGCAAGCACAAACCAAAATGCCAAGGAAATGATTGCGCTATATATTCCCTTGTTTTCATTTACTCACGGCATGGTCTCAGATTGCAAGGCCTGGTCTGCTCGGCCGCTCCTGGACATTTTCCGGGCTTTGGACATGTTCTGGTTCTGGTTTGGCTACCGTCCCCGCATGTCTTACTGCAGGTAGAGTAAGGAGTCCATGGGCTCCATTTTGCCGGTTCTTTGAAACGAAATCGGAACGAGTTGATTATATTTACACATGTGTCCTATCCACGTTTATAAACAGTGTTGGTATTCAAAACGAACACCAGTTCATGCACATGTTGACTATATTAATGCTCATCAGAAATGCTGAAATTCTCCAATTAATGAAATAATGAGGTCTGTGATAAGAAAGAGGCAATTAGCTGTCACTGCATGCACATCTTGAATTTAAACAATGCAGTCAGACTTCATCAGGGAAATGAATGCAGTGATAACCCTGATGAAGTCTAACTGTCAGCAGACAAAAATGGCTGGTTAACTTCAGTTCATTTTTCTTAAGCTATCGATATATGAAACTTTATTGATTGACGACTATATAGTTTTAATACCTTCATGATCCTACTCACCTTCACAAGTCACCTTAGATAGTTCGACTCGAATGCTGTCCAGGGCTTCGTAATTCTCCACAGTATATGTGTACTTATCCCCGGGTTTTCCCTTGCGCTCGCTGGCTATCAAGTTCAGTTCCTCGCGACCAATATTGGCACCGACACCAATGGCCACCAAAGTTATGTTCTGCGCGCGAGCCTTCAGACAACAAAATCAATATAATCAATATCTTAAACGATGGAGGTAAAAATATATTTGATATAATATTTAATTTTTAAGTACACCTATTAAAAGTTCTATATTGACATTTTGCAGACTTGGAGGCATGGTATAATTACAATCAATAAAGGTGATCTATTATATTATGCGAATGAGAGAGAAAAAACATAGGCCTATGTAATGACACGGGAACCATGGCTAACAGGTTGGGGCTTTTTCATTCTTATGATCCAACAATCACCCCTTTAAACTACACTCGTCCGATTTGTATATTTGCTTTGAATTGACCTTCTAAAACGGCCCAGGTGGATTCGGTTCGCTTTCATGATTTACTCATGTGTGGTACAAATTGTATTAAAGAAGAAATGTCTAGTCTACAAGTTTACGGGTATTCAGGTGATTTATTATTATTATTATTATTTTATATCATTTATTTGTTTATTTATCTATTTATTTATATATATATATTTTTTTTTTGAAACCATATCGCATTATTTTGGTCTCATATGACCACTGTTTCATGGGAGCTAAAACAGTCAAAAACTATTTAAAAAGTTTAGGCCTATCAAACATAAATGGTCATGAAATGACATCTAAATATTTTCATCGCACCTCTGCTGCCGCTGCTGCGGTCAAGGCCTTGTCGCGGGATGCACCGTCAGTAATGATAATACCCAGCTTGGGGACACCTGGCCTGCCTCCATTGGCAGCAAGGAAGTACCGCTCTCGCATCCTATCAAGGGCTCTATTGGTGTAGGTTCCACCACCCTGCTGTCTAATACCTGAAGATTATGACAAAAACTATGTTGACGAGCATGGCGTAAATGGTCATCTTTAGAAAATGGTACCTCACATCAGGATGGATTGTTTTCTGCTCCGCAGATCCGGCGCATTGGAACACATCCTGCAAGACTTTGAGGCAGCCAAAACGGCGCCTTCAGTTTCAGAGATCATTGGAAACACACCAAACGAAAGACAGAAGGCCTAAATGTTGCCCGAGAGAGAGAGAGAGAGAGAGAGAGAGAGATGTATGTGTGTGTGTGTCTGTGTTTGTGTTTGTGTGTGTTTGTGTGTTGCTGGAAAGAGAATAGGATCAAGACAACGATAAATTAACAAACTGCGGTGACAAATTAACACACACAGATAAGATGACATATGAAACTAACACTACCACACCCTAAAATACCATAATATTGAACATTATCCTTCACCTACCGACAATGGCCTTTTGCAGGGCCTCGGCCGTGTTGTATCTGTTCAGGTAAAAGTGATCCGTGGCGCGGTTAGAGAAGGTCAGGACGGCAATCTGGGTTGCATCTGGGCCTATCCTAAAGTCTTCTGTGATATGGGATAAAAACTGCAGCTGGGCCTTGAAATCGGGGCCCCAGATGCTACTGGACTCGTCCAGGACGAATACCAGATCCAGTTTGGTGTTTGTGCAGCCTTCGTCGCCTCCATGAATGCCCTGAAAAGGTAATGAAAAAATTATGATGAGGATGAAGACGATAATCACAATAGCAATGATAATGATAACAACAGTGATAATGATAATAATAACGGGCAAACTTTAAATGTAAAGGAAAAAAGGGTCCGTCAAGTCATACCATCAGAAAAAGTTGAAATGATTGCAGTATGTACGTATGAAATAAAGTTTCTAAATGTGCGCTATGTTTTAAAATAATCTATGCATTGTTTTACTTTTGGTATTTTTCAAAAAATCTCCTTCATGCTAATTTTAGGATAAAATATATTATACAGTGGTTATATGGTAACTTGTTGGAATTTTTAAAAATTTCGACTTGCTAGACCGTCAGTTTCAATTTTTTCCATGGATGTCAAAAATACCTTGCGTTACCGAGTGCCAAGACGGCCCTAAGACATGCTTTCAGCAACAACGCGTGAAACACTTAAAACTGAAACGTACACCAAAAAAGTCAGAAGTTTGGGTGCGCACGTAAAGACCCAAAACACATAAATCACACCATATCTTTATTACGCGGTTGTTTTCGGGACAATTGAAATCGTTGAAGTTATGTCTTTTCAAACTGAAGTGTTGCTATGAAAGTCGCTTGGATTCATAAGTGAACTCCTCGGCGTCTCAGATCTATTTTAATAGATTGTTTAAAAGCAATCTTCAAAGTAATGACTTCATTCCACAAGGTTTGTATATGGCCATATTGTGCATTAGTATTTTCACCAAAAATAAACGTTATTAAGCTTATCCGAAACATGGACTGTCCAAAACATGGACTGTCCGTAATTAAATTTGGTTATCATGTCGTTAGATACTGTAGGACGCCGCGGAAAGACGCTAGGAGCTGAACAGAATGCATACAGATCTTAAAAGCGGAAGCCACAACGATAGGCACATTATTCAAACAAAAATTACGGATCCAAAACTCTATTGTACACAACGCTTAGATGTGGTCCTATGCCATGAGTAGGGATCTTCTTGAGAACGCCCGCGATTCTATAAAACCAGTAATGTTCCACTCGATTGGTGTCCAATTCAATTCCACAGAGACCCCATATTGATCTTTCCAATTTTGCCGATATCAAAGTACGCGCGATCCATTTTTATCTACTAACCCCTAGACAAACTAATTGGTCTTTTCTCACCCCATGTGTGATACTTAGAGGTTACGAGTTCTAAACGAAAACTTACAGCCTTAAAGGAAACACTGCACCAAACTGAAAACACATCAAACACGCCATAAGAGTATTGTTTCAAGTAAGGTGGCTGAGGTTGTTTAAAAACAGAAAAAAGGCGTTTATGGACCTTATTGCTACCACGTGAGTTAACTGTCTTTTTAGTCAATAAATCTAGCGCTTTCAAGAAAAACTGTTTTATTGATATGATTAATATGAATATTATGATGTAACATTATCACGCCGAAAACATTCTTATGACGTAAAATATATTCGACCAGTTTGTACCATTCTGCATCCTATTCGGCTACCGTATGGGAGCAAACAGGAAAACCGCCCCATGAATTACTGCTGATAACTATGACGGATTAATGGACAAGGGTTTCCGAATCACTGCATGTTTTAACCCATGTCTAACTGACACACAGGAAGCCCTGGACAGCTGGGCTCCTCCTACACGACAATGTAAGGGCCCCATGTCATCAAGGTCGGTGCGCAGTCTCATATGTTATGATGTGTACGCGCGTTTCCAATTCAATTGGGGAATGTTATTATATAAATGTGAAACATGACATGATGGCTATTTTCTCAAATAAGAGATAAATTTTAAATACACGATGTGTTAACACATGCTTAATCATATGCATGTATATATTACGTTCTATAGACATAAGAACAGCAGACATAAGAACAGCATTACGGTCGTTAGAGACCTATCAATGTGAGCGCTATGTGAACACGACCAAACTTCACTGAGAGGTTTTGTAAACCCGCCAATGGTAAACACGCTAGAATAGATTTGGGGGGAGGGAGCTGGTAACAAATTTAAACCGCGTGTTGGACGATTGCCACGCTGGGAATAGAACATTGTCAACATGGGGGACCAGTTCTAGGAAGATGTTGTTTTGGAAAAATTTGACTTCAGAACAGTTGGGGAAATTAAAAACGAGTTCTGTTTGTTTGCACTGTGACTCTCTGCGCCGCGCTCTGAAGCCTTAAGGATGCAGTTAAAAGTGCAAAGATATTAGAAGCGGAAGAAATAATTGAGATCTTCTCAAAATTGTGGGACTTAATGACAATCACTTATTATCAAGGACAACAAACCTTTTCTGTGATTTCGTTCATTTTCATTGCATTAAAAATGGTGACTTATCATTTATTTGAAGTTTGCTGCATGTTATTTTACTTTATCAGTATATGATAAAGTAAAATGAATAGACGAGCGACTACAAATAAAGATCGAAACCACCGAAAACAAATCATATTTGGAAACAAAAAGACTAACATCACATCGTATGAACCATCAAGCCGCAAATGTTTACAGTACTATTTATTGAAATGATTAATTGCGATTTGGACAAAGAGAAATCTTTCAATAATGTACATTTGTCCAATGTTCAGGTACACGTTACACCGGTTGACAGATTTCAGTTAATGCTTCCATTTTTACTGCACTCAGCTGGACATCTATGTGGCAAGTAACAGTAAATTTCCGCCTGTTTTAAACTGATAAAATGTGAGAAAAAAAACAGACTGAAAGTCCCGAGTGCTGCTTTAATCAGTGGGTAAAAAAATTGTCCCAGCAGGACTTTGTAAAAATATAAATATATACCGCTGTATACATGTATGAAAAAATGGGAGATTTTTTGAATATGCCCTCCATGGCATATATTGATTTGTTTTACTTAATTCAAATTTTGATAAAATATATAAAGCATAGGAGAAAAAACATTTTACGACAGTCATACTTCAGAAAACTTTTGGCAAGTCAAGGCATTTCCATCTGTGAAAATGTCTTTTTATGACCGGGTGGTCCGTCATGACAATTGAAACTGGTTACATATCATGACGTCCCAGACAGACATAATTTCCTGTTACAGCAAGTATTAACCACATGGAATATTGAGTCACGTTGCGAAACCTAACAAAACCAATTAAGATATAATTTGTAGTTGTTCAACGAACTGTGAGAAAAGACAAATGGAGTGGTAAAAAAAATGTATTCGAGCCAATCACGCAGCCACTGAAACATTTGACCACCCCGAAACCAAGTTCCATCGGTTGCTGCTAAACAAGCAGTTCACGCTGAATAATAACACATTGGATAACAGAAAACATTAGTATCACTACGAACACAACTTTAAGGAAAACAATTTACTTAAGGCACATGTCAATGGCAGCAAATGATTGATGGCGAACGACCGAGGTCAACCTGACCTTCGGCAAGGAAGATATTTGTCTGTGTCTAATTAAAAACATGAAACCAAGTTTGTCATCTGATCTACCTACTGCTTATACAACATTCCTATATTTACGTTTTTTCATCACGTGTTACAGGATTTTTATCACCGATTCCTATAGTTTTTTGGGTGTTTTTATACTTAACTCTTAATAATAAGGACGAATGAGAATTGAAGAGTTGGCAACTCTCCTTTCCTTTATCTAATGCTTTGGCTATCTTGTTTCATGTAGGAAAAAACTGCGCCTTTCGTGACATGCTTCTATGCGTTGTATAATGTTAATTTATTTTCACTCTTCAACTAAATCATGGAAGAGAAGTTAAAAAAGAAAACAAATTTTCTACAAGTCAATACATATGAGAACAATTGCCACCCATTTTAAGTTGGCAAAAAAATTGAAACCTAATAGCGATTCAGGAATGGTGGATAAATCTCGGTCTTATTTAATGTGATTAGGTCTTTTGATCGCCCACCCAACAGCCACGACGCTAGAAGATAATCTGGTTCAAGCCAGACCCAGATCCAACAGTTATGCAACTTTCCTGCCCGTAGATTACATTCATGTTTTTTAAACAAAAGTTAAAGTATATCAAAAGCAATCGATTTTATTAATTTTGTTTACAAAGAAATAATGAGTTCAGTCACATTCATACAGTTTTTGTCTGATAAATTAGTTGGCAGTAACACCTAATAGGTCCGGTTCCCCATAAGGTTGGGAAGCTCTCCGATGTTTAGACAGACCCCAGTGAGACAGTTAAGATACAATCCCTGCCCGTGTGTCATCATATTTTGTGTATCATATTTTGTCATATGACGTTTCACCACGAAATGCTGAGTTTCTTTCAATCAAAATCCAGGTTATTCAGTAAACGAAAACTCAGTTCTAGTAGCATAGTAGTAGACAAAGCCCCTTTTCTATCGTTTGAATCAAAATACGCCCCATCCAACTACACTGTATAACTGTGTTGTAATTTTGCCTACTTTTCCTGTTTTAATCTGTATCTGGATAGGCAAAAACAAGCCTGCAAACCAAGAGCTCTTTGCGCTTTCAACAGAGTAACAGGTGTCAGAGTCGGAGCCATAGTGCAAGTTTTTTTAAGATCCAGAGAATCTTCTCACGAATAAACAGTGGAAGTGATGTGGCTTAATGGCACGTCCATTGAGATAGTATCGCAAAAATACATTATAAATGCGGATCAACAAGGTATCTTCTTTCTGGAAGAGCGTGCTGTAATTGAGGCAAATATGTCAAAAATTGTCGTAAACAGATTACATAGATAATCGACGAGGCGAATGAGAAAATGTAGGATAATTTACCTAGTGTTCCAAAAAATTGCAAGGAAAACTTTGGGATATGTTAACGATTAATCGAAGGCATATCATCGAATTTAGAGACGCGTATGTTATTTATTTTATACATCGAATGAAAAAAACGGATGTGCAGTATACCATAAGAGTGGCTCCCTTATGACAAGAAAAACGAAACAGTGGCAGCTAGAATCAAAATTGGTCGGTGGCAAAACATTCTAAGTTTGCTTAGATAGATAAGCCCTTGATAATTTTTCTTGTCACCCTG